TTTCTAAAATGATCAATATATATATTTATTTTAAAATGTAATAAAGAGAATAATAACTTCACACATCTCACACACGGCCGTCTGATCAAAACTATTCAGAGCCTGTACTATGGTAACCAGACTGCTGAAAAACATACTTATATATTTCTAAATACATATATATTACAGATAAATTATGAGTACACCCAGACACAACCAATGACCGTACTCATCACACCATTTTTGTTCTGGGTGAGAATTGAACCCACGACCTCCGGCTTAGCAATCAGGGTCACTAACCACTAGACCAACACCCCCGTTGATTGAAGGTTTTCCCATTTATAGTTTATAATCGCTTGAAATAACTCCACGAAAAAAAAGGTTTATTACATATATTAACATTGGGTATTATTTTTCTATTAAATATCTGTATGCGAATGATTATATCACATTCCCTTTTAAAAATGTTCTAACAATTCTTAAATATAAAAAGGAGGCAGCGTAACATGGCATCAGATTTACAATCAAATGGTTGCGAATTCGATTCCACGCGCATCTGTAGTGTAGACAGGCGGCCAAGTGCGAGTCTATTTCACATCTACTCGATCGTCACGGTGACCGCGTTCGGCGCTACGATTGGTCCGCACTGCAATCTCCACCAATCGCAACGCTAAACGCGCTCGCCGTCAAGAGCGACTCGATGTGAAATAAACTTGCACTCGGCCCTCAGACCACCCCTAATACAAGCATTTAGCTTAGCTAGAGTGCTCAATAAGATTTCTACTAATAAGTGACTTATATTACTGTTGTCCAATCGCGTTAAGAAAAGCTTTCGTACGAAACTATAATCCCTTGGAACTTGATTGGCCAATGGGCGGGGCGTGACCGATACGTAACTATTTTCTTAACGCGAATGTACTACAGTTTTTTTTCTACGTAAATAAGACAATTGTGATTGATTTCAAAAGCCATTAAGTTAGAACTAGAGTACTTTAACTTAGAAGTCACAACACCTATCCACATATACATTATATTAATAAAATTTTGTGCATTTTTATGTGTTCATCTAAAGCATTTGTATGTTAATAAAAAAATATTATTATCGTGACTATGTGAAGTGCTATAATTAAAGTATACTATATGTAATAGGCTATACATAAACACTGCACTTAACATATGTTATATATAAGAAACCTTGCAGGAGTGCTTTGGGTATAGTATAAAGCACGATCTTTAAGGAGAGAGGGGAGCATAGTTTTTAGCTAAAAACAGTGTTTTAAGTTAAGACAATTCACGCCGTCTGATCCCAAACCTGTAACTCAAGACTCACATGGTGTGTTGCGGCCTTTTAAGTCCCCTCTCCCTATTACTGTACTGTGACCAATGGGCCTAATTATATAAACTGTTTACTTCACCCCGATCTCCCCTCCATAACTATAACCGACTATGGCCGCCCATTGACACCTGCCACTTAAGACTCACAGGGTGTGTTGCGGCCCTTCGAGTCCCTGTACTAATAACCACAACTGTACTATGACCAATGGGCTTACTTATACTTTCTTCACCTCGAACTATCCCTATATACAGGAGAGAGTAACCGGCGCTTAAATTAGACCACTTATGTATTTCTACCAAAATGCAATGCATAATTTGGTATGGTCTAGCGCGCCTTTTTTTGTTGCTAGTGGAAAAAAATAGTGCCATTTTGGTATCAATACAGAAGTGGTCCAATTTAAGTGCCGATTTAATGTTAGTTTCTCTCCCCTAATTTAACTTAAGAAAAAATCAATTAAAAAAATACACAGACTTCAACGCGCTTAAATCATGAAGTTCGAAGTCGGTTCACAAATGGCGAAAATATTACGCGTTACGTACATATTTTAGAGTCGGTTAAAAATGGCTAATACAAGAGAAAGACGATTACATGATTATACAACTACATAGAATACAAAATATATTCTATTGTATTGTATTAATCGTTAAATAAAGTACAATTAATTTTCATTACATGTTCTAATTGTTACGGACAATGTAATTATAGTATTGGATTAGAATAAAAATGAAATATATCGACGCGTTCAGAAAATGCATGTACACTTCTGAGCAAAGGAAATGACTGATGCACTTACACTCTCAGTTAAATTTCTATTTTGTTTTGTCTTGCTTAAAGTGTAAGTAAACTTTTAAAATATATATAATTATTTTGTTTTAATAATTCTAATTTAATAAAAAAATCGCGGCAAATAAATACATAAATTGTTTGTACAAGTTGTATACATGTACTTAACAAAATTTTAAATTTACATGTAACATTTGAGTTGATAAAGCAGTTTCATTAAGGCAACTTATTTAAACGTTATTTTTTTCACAATAATACACTCTATTTAATACATAAAATCGTGGTTATACTAAAAACCATGTTCACTAATACTTATACATTTTGTGCATTTGATTTTCAATTTTGACAATCACTCGAAAAAATGACAGCTCATTTTGACAGCTGTCCTAAAAATCAGCGGGTTAGTGTTATTGTAACAGAGTTCTATAAAGACTATTGAAATAATTTCTGATATTGTAATCTTACAATCTGCATTCGCACAAGTAAACGGCGTTTAAATGAGTCTCTTTATATAACAGACTCAGTCAGGTTTTGTTTTGTTTTGTTCAATGTAAAATTTAATAAGGTTTCATTTTACGTGCTACTACCCATATATATATTTAATAAGTAAATTTATAACCGAGTTCAAAGCTTCTCTGAACTGTCAAATTTAAACTCCTTCATTTCCTTATTTTAATTTTTAAAGAAGTTGATAAGCATTGACCGATTTTTAATCTGGCTACACTACGCTAAACATTAAATATTATACGTGCATTTTTATCCATTAACACTAGTGTCTAAACGCTAGACTAAGGAAGCGATAATTATTTTGCTATTCTGTGACATCACCTATCAGATGGATGGATGTCTAGTTTTAAAAGACAATGGCGACATTTACTTAGGCTTGCGTTTAGTTTTCCCTGGTTTATACGTTGGTGTTTTATTTTACTTGGCATTTGATATAAAGGTGTTAGAAAGAATTCGTTTGTAAACTGGTATGTTGGCTTAAAAATGTCAAGTTCTGTTTTGATTGCAATTGAGTTTATATTGGTTAAAGCTTCCAGCAAGAAATCAACAAAATTGATCGCTATCTCTTTCTTGTAACTGTTAGTAAGTTATTTTATTTCGACAGTGTATAGTGTCTCAAAGTATCCCTATTACGTGCTAGAGTACATATTAGGGACACTAATGGCCAGCGCACACCTTGTAAGTTGTGCCAGACTTCACAGTTCATTTTCGAGTGTCTTAAAAAACCCTCTATTCTGCGCTACTCTCGAACTGCGTTGGCCCTTAAAAACTACAGTACTTAACAGGGACACAACTTTTTAAAGATTTTAGATTATCGATATCAATTATGACACCAAAAAAAAAAGTTTAAGCTTTGATATGGCAGACCACGCTAGTTATTTATTATAAATATGACAAAAATTTAAGATTTTGTGTCTTTCAGATCGTTTTCAAACCGACAATCAGTATCATTCCAGTATTAATTTAGCGGGTTCCTTGCATCATACCTACTACACATTTTTTTGTCCTGCTCTAATCTATTTTCTAGAAACATCTAGCACGTCACTTTAAAATCTATGAGGTAATGTTTTGGGGTTGTATTGCTTCTCGTACTAAATCTTGGCTTTATCTTCTTATGTGATATTCAAACCTGTAGATAGAACAATATTTTACATAATAAGTTTTATAGCTAACGTAGCAAACAAGAGAAACTTAGATGATAGTATTGGATTCAGGGTCGGATTAGCCATGTCGAGACCCTTAGGCAGTGCAATCTTTGGGGCTTCTTTTTTTTAAGATCCAGCTATTTGCGAGTTGATGAAGTGTTGCGAGTAAAATAGCATAAGCAGCATCACCGGACTGATCCCTAACACCTCAGGAATAAACAGCAAAAGCGGGGCCCTTAACCGATGCGAGGCCCCAGGCAGTTGCCTACTCTGGTTTATCCGGCCCTGAGTGGATCATTACTATCTATAATTTCTTGCAACACTAGTAGTCATATGTGTGTGTTGCCAACTTCACAAAACAAAAATGTTACAACACTACACCTACAATATTTTTAATTTATTTTCTTTTCCTAATTTCAATCTATATTTATAAAAATGGTAAAGTTGGTTTGTGTACGCTTTAAAAACTCGGAAAATTCTACACCGATTGAGCTCAAATAACACGACATAAAACCCGCTTAAAAGACTATTTTTATCTATTTTTATATTCTCCCATTTCTCATCAGCGCAAGCACAATGTGCCCACAGCAAAGTGTGGCAGTGTACACCTAGTTTTAATATAAGTATCTAATGATAAAATATGGTCTTTACTTTTTAAGTTATTTTTAATTCTTTTCTATGGTGAACAAGAACTAGAGGCAACATATGTACTTATGGGCGTTTTTTAAATAAAAAAAAGATATTTGCAGTAAAAAGCTCTTCTAAAGTTTTGAAATTCATCACTGAAGGTTTTTTTCTTTTAAGGGTTTTTTTATCGTATAGGGGGGCAACTACCGCCCTCCATGGACACCTGCAACTCGAAAGTCACAAGTGCGTTGCTGCCCGTGGAGTCCCTCCTGCTCGAGTCAGCGGGAGGGGAGGTTTCGGCTCCGGTAACCTCACTCACTCAGTGAAAGGCAACGGAAGAATTGCTTAACACCTGTTTTCTGTGAGGGTTATTCTTTATGTGTATTAAATGTGGGTAGAATAATATATTAAACACAAATTCAGTGTCTTTGCATAAAGGAACTTATGGCTTGATTGATATCGATTTTTATTTTTAATCGAATCGGCCAAATCCTGTTATCAGTAATCGACTATTAATCGAACTGCTATGTGAACTCGACGCCGACATGAATTTCAAGAATAAAAAAGTTATGATTTAAGTTAGTTTCATACCACAATATTAGATCCTCTTCCCATTCTTCTAGCTAAATGTCTTGTCCACTACAGTACAATGTCGTCTGACGGTGTACACCTAAAATAAACATACGAAGATATTATGGATATTATAATTATATTATTATTATTAGATATTATCGCTAAAGAGGGTAGTTGTGACTAAGGGTTTAGCAATCATATACCAACTGCCGTTAGTTGACTTTGAAATTCGGTTATTCCAATAAAAAAAAACAGTAGAACTAAAAGAAGTATCAATGGCGATAGAAACCGAACTCTGACACGGTAATAATTATATATCTACTAGATATTGCCCGCGCATGATTATTTCTGTTTTTAACTTTGAAAGTGACAAATTTCCACACAACCGTTCATCCCTTATTTTGCAACTTAGAGGTGAAATTTGAAAAAAATCGGCGTCGCAACGAAATTGCTTACGCTTTTGGTAGACATTTGCTATACAGTCTGCTTTAAACTTTAAGTGTCGGCAAAAAGTCTTGTTACACATTTTTCGGCTTCGCTCCCATCCGCTCAGAGCTTGTAACGCACGTTAAGGAACTTCGTTCCGAAAATCTTTTCTTACTGGGTGCTTACACCACAAAGAGAGTCAGCATTCATTCAGTTGTAGCAAGTTGGTAGCTCCAGTGGTTAAGCTCTTGCGCTGATGGATCAGTCAGTCAGGGCAAGTGATTTTATATGTATAGATGTTCCACTCCAATGCCTGCTTAGGGATGGGTCATGATGATGATAATGATAAGCCTCATCTATGGGATCAACGACTGCGGTCATCATTGTTGGGTGTCACCAAATAAGTTCCTTACCTGGGTATCGGTATGCATCACAAGTATCCGGATGGTCGGGGTCTGGGGGCGGAGGCCTCGTCAAGGGCTCGTCCCCGCCAGGCAGGCAAGTCTCCACCATCGCTTCTAGGCAGTTCACGAAGAGCTGGCTGCCCTCCGCTGTGCACTGGTTCTGTAATAACGATTTTTCATTTCTATATTTTTCATTAGCCGTTTTTTTCGGATTTCTTTAACAATACCAAGAGTTATAATTCAAAAACTTCTGCACCGATTTGGCTCAAACTTTGACACGATATACAACCCGCTTCAAAGATGGTTCTTACGTATTTTTCGCATCAGTTTATTCCCCATTTCTCATCAATGGAACACAATGTTTAATAGCAAAGTTCAGCTAGTTGTTTATAAAATTAAACTGCTTTTGACAAGACTTTTTTTCATGCGTGTGATAACCCGCCCGGGGTGTTCCCACTGGGGTTGGCTGTGGGACAGTGACACTAATAGTCTTCGCTGGATTTGGATTATAGTAAGTGTTTGGACATTATCATAGACGAAGCTTACCTTAGTAAAAGGTCCCGCGAACCGCCACAATCCACCGAAACCACAACTTTGCATGTAATGCAACTGCTGTTGGCTGGCGTCTTCACTCGCTATCATGTTCTGAATAATAATTATAAAAAATAATAATAATCTCACACACGGCTGTCTGATCCCAAACTAGGTAGAGCCTGAGATATGGTAACCAAACTGCTGATAAACATACAATAACTAGTTACTAGACAATTATGTGTCAAAAAAGAACTGCATTGTTCCCTAAATAAGAACAACATTTCATTGGAAATCCATAAAAGCAATGTTATAAACAGTTACTAACAAAAAATCACAAAGTATTTTGTAAATCCAGAGACATCACCGTTATGATCTATCAAAACAGTTATACATGACGCGTCATGTTTGAATACTAACTATACAGAAACTGCAAGAGCACGCAATGAACTCTCTCACTCAACTCTCTCTCGCATATTGCTCTCAAACATATTATTATAACACAATAAATAAAACAAAGACAGGTTTCACCGTTTATAACTTTAGAACTGCTGCTTATGATATTTAATTTTTAGCATTGGTCTCCGCCGCGAATAGCAGAATATTAAAATTCACGAAAACATAAATTTTGAAGAAAATTTAATCATACATAGTGTATGAAACCTTACAAGAACAGCTGGGCCGTGACCATGGCACATTGAAAATGGCAATGCGCCTAAAAGCGCTGGTGAAACTGCCAAGAAATACACATCATAATCAACATCCTTTAATAGTCCACTGCTGAATATAGGCATTTTCTTAGAAAGGCGGTCTATTATACCACGCTGGCGATACGGGTTGGTACGGAGTTTGATTCAAGTTTTCCTTCTCTTTGCAGTGCTGTTATCCTGCGTAGTTTGCTCCCTTAGTCGGCTCTTACAAGACTCAAAGAGAAACACTAATTCAGTATCATTAATCATTTGGAAAATGTAGAGATAGCAACTTCGTTGCAATCGTGCGTACGAGTATATGACAATAAAAAATAAATTAATTATTGCATACAAAATTCCGTTTTACTGCAATGTGATAAGAATCAAATGTGACTGGCTAACAGCATGTGTGACACTTTTAGTGAGTTGTGACGTACCTGTATAATGCTTTGTACTGCGCTCAGTATGACTTGATCGTGGCAATGCAGCAGTACATGATTAATTTTCATGTCGAGCAGGCTGTGTCTATAATATAAATATTACCAATTAAATCCCATTCATAATCCTACTACTATTATAGTTTAAGCGGATGTTTGCTACTCAATCACGCAAGAACGGCTGCACAGATTTGGATGAAATACTACTGATACTTTTTAACAAAAAAAGTTGAATTACACAATTAGCATCTACGCGTTGCTCGCGTAGATGCTAATTGTGTAAAAAAAAACTGGTAAAAGTTAAAAATAACATAATCTTGTTATTCCAGCAATTAAATTTTTAAATAAATAATAGAGGTAAATCCGCGAGGATCTTGGGGTCAAAGAAAGTGTTGGATTATATCCACTGAGGTGTGCCAATAACATTTTCAGTGTCATATTCTCTATTCACAATGTATTGTATAAATATGGCGTATGTTCAAATATAGAACTCAGTTGTATTCGAATCTCAACCGGCGTTTATAGAAGGAACATACATCATAAGCTCAATTCATTTATATTTTTAGATAATAATAATAACCTAACACATCTCACACACGGCCGTCTGATCCCGAACTAGGCAGAGCCTGCACTATGTTAACCAGACTGCTGATAAACATACTTCTATATTTCTAAATACATACATATTTATAGATAAATTACATCCAGACAGAACAAATGATCGTGCTCATTACACAGTTATTCGTCCTAGATGGCAATCGAACCCACGATCTTTGGATTAATAATATAAGAAATCATTGAATACTTACATAACTGGAAATACTTTAGGGAACACGACTGAACCCTCTGCTAAATATTGGTACAATATCCTTATTTCGTCCTCATCTGAAATTAAATTTTCGTAATAACGTTGCAATATATGTTTATACCGAATAAAGCGTTTTTTTTATAGTTATAACTGTTATTGAAGAAGAATAACCGTTATAACGAAAGTATTTATAACTGGATTAATGTGTATGTTTACATAATCATTGTAAAAAGAACAGCTGGTTAAAAGAACAAAGAAAAGAGAATTACAGTCTTGATTATAAAATTAATTTTATATTTATAACATAATGTCAGATGACAGAACATAATCCAATCTAACCTCACTTACATTAAAGCTTATAAATAACATGAACTAAAGTACGAGTACTTTCAAATTCAATAACAATTAGAAGGAATCGTTCCATTTGTAACCGCCAACGTCCCTAATAGAGTAACAATGTACAATAACGTTACGCAACTGTTATATCAATTATAAAACTGGTTATATTTCAAACATACCTGTGGTGTATTTTACCAGGGTTGCCAGCACAGTCAGCACTAGAGCCTGAGTCGTAAAATCCGATAACACAGATGGATCTAGCAGACTATTGCTTTCTGGACTAGATGTGTCTTTATCTGTTGATGCTTGCTGGTAGACAAAATGTTTTTTGTAAGCGGAGTATGACATGAAATTGACTTCAGAAAGTACAACATTAACGTATTTTTCATTGTAAAACATATACATAGAAGCTACAACTATTATTTTTTATTATTTTAGAGGGGGCAGACGAGAAGACCAGTCACCTGATGGAAAGTGACAATCGCCGTTGAAGGTCGTATCGGTCCAAAAATACCGCAGACGATAACCCGTTCCACAGATTGGTTGTGTGAGACAAAAAGTGTCTTAAAAACGCACAATTGCGCTTGGCATTAGTCCAAACAATTCCTCGGAGCACTCTCCATGATATATGATGTGTAATAGATACGTCTATTGTAGTATAGTTTGTTCTTCTTAATCTTGTTTTCTCTTCGTTGTTTTTTCACCTTTAAGTCCTTAATAACGGACATACTAGCACACATCAAAACAATGTTGTGATATATTTAATAGTGCCATTGTATCTACTTGTGAATTGCAAAAGAGTGGCCATGAGTTTGTTTGCCCTTTCTTCTCATAAGGCTCAACCCCTTGGAAACGGGCGGTTGTAGATCGGCACAGGCATAGATTTTGTATGGGTTTGATTTTGTTAAATTTATTTGGTTACTATTTGACAAAACAGAGATTGTTGCTTTTGTGTGTGTTGATCTATGACTTTAGAGTCTACATGGAAGACGATTTCAAACAATTTTGAAAATTTTATGAAATAAAGAAAGTTTGAGTTTGAGTTTGAGTTTGAGTTAATATCCATTGACCTAGTGGCTACTAATGCAGAATCATCATATGCAGAATATCTACTTTTTTTTTCATACCTTTGTTGTACTTTCGGGATAGTCGCTATCGCCAGATTTAGTAGAAGAAGGTCGTCCATCAGTATCATCTGTGCTGCCTGGTGATCCGCGGCCATCGTCTTCCACCATCTGATATGGTTAAGAACGCAAAATACGAGTTATACGGGTGTACGACATTATATCTACATTTGGACTTCACTAATGATTTATATTGTGAAGGAACGGGTTTAATGTCGATCCAACACACAAGGAAGATCCTCTAACAAGGCGAGGCTACCATGCCCAGCGGGCCATGATTAAAACGGCAAGACATGTTATTATGATTTGTTTTTTTTTTTTTTATTTTTCATAGTATAGAAGGCAAACGAAACTGTTCACCTGTTAGTAAGTGATCACCGCCCATAGATACTTGCAGCATCAGAGTCACGAGTGCATTACTGGTATTTACGTATCCCGCCTCCGGTAACCTAACTCGGTGAAACGCAACAAAAGAATTGCTAACACTAATTTTCTATGAGGGCGTGGTATAATTCTAATCGAGCCAGCTTAAACGTGCTAAAGCATGGAGCTCCCAATATTATTTTTCAAGTTCAAAGTTTTTATTTAAAAACTATCACACGGTGTCTCTGACATCATAGACTGTACTGAGCTGCCAACCTACTATTTCTAGCGGCATCTCTGTTTAATAACAAAATTTGAAATAAAGTACAACATTACTTGTATCAATTATAATATTCTATTAAAAACATGTTATCACCTACAATACTTCTACGATATGCCACTTGAATATTTTAATCGCCTTTGCATGACTTTCGACGACTACTTTGATGACTAGACTAGACTAATACAGAACCTGATGAAAAAAAGGATCGTTATAAGCTGCCAAAAGTTAGCAAAAAAAAAATGCACAAGGACAGTAGCCTTAAAGGCATACCTACAAAAACTTTTTTCTATACAGAAGCGCGATAATATTTATAGAAGTAACTAAGATATTATTGTTTCTGTAAATTTTTAGAATTAAAGTATACTTTTGAATATATTTGTACACAATGACGAAAAAATGTCTTACTCCGCTTACATCAAATCCGCTATCTGCATCGCCTGCCTGTTCGTTCCTAGCTGCCTCTCCTGTCGCCCCGTGTTGCATGCTATGAGCTCTGCCTTCGCTATCCTGTTTAAATGACATGGTCTTAGCGTGGAAATGAGATTGATGGCAAACATTTAGTGGTCTTGTAATTAAATATTTTGTATTAAAATCTTCAAACTTTTAAAATATCTATGAAATCTCATACTTCGCTTACTTTTATTCGCTTACTTACTTTAAAATAATAATAGATAATCCAAAAAGAATTTCCTTACATTTTATGAGATCCTTAGGATCCTCTTTTTCTTTAATTGAATTTATTGTTATAATAATTGCAAGACCACACAAAACGACAGATATTTTGGAATAGGGGATGACATTAAAAAAATCTTGTAGCCAGGGGAATCTTAAAAGCATCTATCTTGTCTGGAACGCTATGTTGCTAATTTTGATTTAATTTCAAAATCATCTATAGCTAAAAGCACTTGTGTAGTAAAATTAAATATTGTAGTGAAGTGTTTGTGACAATAATATTTTAAGTGATATTATATTTTTTAAATATTTAGTGCTTATATAATTGTGCACCGTGTACAATAGGGCACGGATTTGTGCTCTTAAGTGCATATTATGTGTTATTACATCTATGACACACAGCGTTCGTGGTGATAAATTACCTATACTGTGTCTGTTATTTATTTTTTTGATAGATAGTAACGACCATTAACAGGAGTTCAAACTGTCCTCATTTAACATACGGATTTACAGTGTAAGGGGCAAACAGGCGGACGTGTCATGGTAAGTGACTACCACCGCCTATGAAAACCTGCAACTCGAGAGACACAAGTACTTTGCCGCACTAAGACTGCCTCCCCATCCCCACCCGGCATCCAAACAGCACTGCTTCGCCTCGAGTGGTTGGTATTCTTTGTATGGAGTATTATGGGTAAACGCTCACTACATCAACTCCGGAGCGCCTCGCCCGCGGGTTGACGTGTGACCGCTACGTGACCGGACGTTGTCCATGCGCGAGGACGATACATCGGCGGCATAACCCCCCTCGAGCGTGTTTATCGTGTTTTACCTGGTTAACGGCGCAGAGTCTACCTGTGGACCACCCGTCGACAACGAGTTGACACCGAGTCGAGGCGGTGCTGGTCGGATGTCGGGTGGGTGTAATGTGCTATGGCCTTTAATTGCCGATCTTACGAGTATGTACAATAAACGCCATTGAAATCGTACACTGACTTCAACAGAACTTATTGCACCTATCTTCTAGATAACGAAGTAGTTAAAGAAAGAGCTTTCGTGTACTATTCTTCTTGTATAAAGAGCTAGTCATAATAACATTCACGATTTGGCTGAGAAGTTTGTGAATGCTGGATTTCAAGAAACGCAAATATTATAATAAAAGTGTTGTTTTGTTTGTATGGAGGTTTAAAGATTTTTCGTGGTGCTTGAAATAACTGTTTAGTTTATTTCCAGGGTCCAAACATGCGGGTAACACTGTAATGTCAAACTTCGAGTCGAAAATCTAATCGAGGCCAAAAGGTTTTAAAAGACGCCTTTTAAAATATGTTTAGTTATATTATTGACGTTGTATTAAAACATTTCAATAGCATGCTATAAAAAGTTATAAAGTTACAACGGTATATAAACAGTTACAAAGAACTACACTAGGCTCATGTATTTACTCTGGGCACGCCGATTGTGTCCTTCGAAGTGGGTACAGAGAATGATCTCTGGGTTTTGAAAAGCATTCTAGCTGACGTCTATTTAGTTAAAGCAGTGCACAAGCATGTCGTAACGAATAATTTACACAAAAATATCAGTTACACAAAAAAACCGTTATTATTGATAACGAAATTTAAGATCATAAATTGCGTTGAATATTTTGTGCAAATTATCGTTTTTAGAAATAGAAGTTTCGCATTGTGTCAGTTATATCCAGTTAGTGAAATTGACGATTGATTTAGTTTTTTTTTTTTAACAAAAACAACACGAAACAAGCGTAGAATGCACAGTAGTCAGTCCATACGATACGATACATGAACGGATCCGAACAGTAGCGTGTAAAAGACAACAATGATTCAGATGTAAGTGGATGAGTACTGAAAGTAAAGATTGTATTAGTTTGTTGGCGGATTTAAGAATTTAATTTATTCTTTACTTACTGTAGAATACATTACACCCTAGTATACACGTACTAAGACACAGTTTCAAAAAAGTTTTTCAAAAACTATACACTCGATTCACAAGATAAATACTATATAATCGTCTATAAATAGACATTTTTTTCTCAAAAAAAGGTAAATTCTTCAATCTGCCATTAGAGAAAGGTGTCTAACAAAACGCAAGAGTAGTGTCTAACTAATAACGTCACTAGATATCATAGACAATGACTGCATGATAATAAATTACTGTGTGCTAAATGAAAAAATATTCCAAAGGCCTATTAATTTCCATTAGGGAAGTATTTTTCTAAATTTCTAACATTATGTTTAAAATTTAACAATGTGTTTAAAATAACGAAGTTGTATACCGTTACAAGAAAAACGTTACCTGTTGCCAACACTTCAATACTGAAAAAAAAATCATTAGGAAACAAAACGTGTAATACAAAAACTACAAGCCTTTAAAATATATTTCCAATGCACACGTGACAATATTTCACCTCAATCACAAATGTAATAATTTTAAACACAAAAGCTCATCATTCTATCAAATTAAATGCTAAAAAGCCCGTCATCTGTTTGGGAAAGAAAGTCCGAAAAAATCCAGTTTTTTTATGATATAGGAGCAGACAAGTCACTGATGAACATCTGTTAGTCAATTTTTTTACTACCCTACTTTTTGTTGTTTATATTTTTACTAAAGATAAGTTTTTAGATGAAGCAGTTATTCGAAAATTGTTGTTATTATTATATTATTATATACTTAAGAGTTTGTATTTATTTACTTTATTTTAATTATAATGGTTTACGGAAGATATACCTCTTAAAGCGATATATCTGTATTTTTACAGTATCTTGATTTAAAATGGAATATTTAAAAAGTAATCTTCGCATTATATTCACTTCTTCACTATTGGTCGCATTATCTGATGATATTATCTGAACTTATGTTTATTTAAACGTGTTATATTTAACTTAAATATAACTCTTCGTAATAAATGGTATTACGTTACCTACATATAATAAACTCACATTCTCGAAGTACAAAATAACTTGTTATAACAGAATGGTATTTTTTGCCGAGTTTTTGTATAACTAAGTGATATTAGCCACACGTATCAATACAGAACAGTTACTTTCTCTATGAGTGTAGACTTTAAGGTATACAACCTTAAAAATCATGTCTCTGTATGACATGATTTTTAAGGTTGTATACCTTAAAGTCTACACACACGCAAAATTAACTATTACTTTTTAACAACTACCCAAATAACGGTATGTAACGTTATAAAGTGCAACGAATTATATTGAACCTTGTAACGTTACAGGAACAACGATATGCGGTACGGTATAACGGACGCCGTTATGTTACTTATGTGTTGCAGTTACAACATTTCTAGTCACAGAAGATATCATATATGTATTAGTAGTTTTTATAATGATTAAAAAAAACACATCTGACACACGGTCGTCTAATGCCAAACTATGTAGACCCTACTAGAGTATTATGGTGACCAAAATGCTGATAAACATACTTATATATTTTTAAATACATAAATATTTTAAATAAATTGCAACCAGACACAGAAAAAATGACCGTGCTCATCACACAATATATATCCTGGGTGGAAATCAAACCCACGATCCCCTCGCACAATAAATAAAATAAATTTTCCTGTTCTATAATAGAAATAAACAATAGTGTAAGATAATAGGTATTTAATACGTAATAAATAAAGTGCCTGTCGATTCGACCACAGTGCACTGGCCGTGGTCACAGACTGACTCTGAGTCATTTGAGTCAGCCTGTGAGCACGGCCCGTCAATATAATTCTATATATTTAATTATATTTCATCAATTAGCTTAGTACACTCTCGTGGTCACGGTCGTTATGTTAACGTGTCATTCGATTCGATTCGAATTAGAATATAAAGTATCGACTTATACGCACACCAAAGGAATTCGATTAAAAAGTATAATGATACAAAACGTTATTTATCTGTAATTCTTTCCCAAAACAGACGTACAATATCATGAAATTATAAATGATTCCTGTGTCTGCCATTCCTTGTCTAAACACCGACAAACCTTCACAATAATATATATTATATAGAATTTATTGCACCACTGAGACAGCAAAGAAAATACCACAATAAATATTTAACGGCCAAAAATTACACCTGGGCCTCAATTCTGCTATTTTATGTTTACGCCAAGCCAGTGTCATACCACTGACACGCTATTGAGATGCCATCGAGTGGCCATTGGCATCGATATAAATATCGGTAGTTGAAAATATATTACGTTTTTTGAGGAAATGATTTATTTATTTTTATTATAATAAATTATTAAAATAAATAAATTAATTAAAATAAATTATTAGAAACATAAAATTATAAAAAAATATTAAATTAAATTATTAAAAATTATTAAAATAAATAAATCATTTCCTTATAATTTGAAAATATATTTTATGAAAATATATTACGTTCTTTGAGTAAATGATTTATTTCCTCAAAAAACGTAATATATTTTCAACTACCGATATTTATACCGATGCCAATGGCCACTCGATGGCATCTCAATAGCGTGTCAGTGGTATGACACTGGCTTGGCGTAATAGCAGAATTGAGGCCCTGGTCACACCTGTAGACTGTTCATAATTTTAAATACATACTGTTATGTTCGAAAGCTTGTGGTTCTGGTAGAAGTAAATAACGAGACTTATGAACTTGGTAATTATTGTATTGTATTAAGTAACTTACAATTTCTATTATCGTGCTCATAACACAATTATTTGTCTTCAGGGGATCGAACCCATGACCTCTGGTTTAGCAGACGCGACACTAAGCGACAATTTCAGGGTAAATGTAGTATTTTAGTATATTTGCTTTAAAGTACAAATTAAATAGACATTATTATCTACATATATATAGATTACTTTTTACAAAAATATTTTAATTTCTAATTACAAAAAAAAATAAAAATAAAAGTTATTTTATGTAGGCACTTATAAAAACTTCCATTCCCTTTCCTTTACAACTACAGAAACACAATTCTTAAATATTTATTAAAGATTTTTATACAGACGGTCAATTAGCTCAGCCTTAAAAGCTTGATTTTTAACAGTAGAGGTGCAATAAACTCTATATTCAAGTATTAGTTTTTAGTAAATTTAATATAAATACGTATTAAATGAATAAGTCATGATATTACCTGATGAGATATGCTGACTAGATGTGGGCTATGACCACCACTGCTTGACTGCATCGTAGGGGATTTACCTGGTAACATTATATCATAATAACTCCAAAAACATAAATGAAGTGTGATGTGATAAGACGTGATAGGGTGTGATGTAATGTGATCATGGCCAAATTTCAAGTTGTGACCCTAAATAACAATTTTTGACATTATAAATTTTATTTCGTACTTTATCAAGCCTAAATTTATTATTTAATCAATTATTATGAATTTTTTCAACCACTTTCTTTTAATCACAAAAAAGTACCGTTACTATGAAATGGTATAAAAACGGGTCGAAAGCTAGTATTAATATGATACTATATATAACCTACATCAAGAGAGCATACGGGGTGAGGTTCTCATCATCATTGTCAGTTAAGTAGATTATGATTTCTTAAATAAAAAATAAATAGATATAATAAACATTAATATAACACACAAAGAGATTACTACGAACACAGGCACGACTCTCTCAGTTCGTGACTAACGTCAAACTACACGGCGAATATGCGGCATTCCGCATAATAACGTATTCCTTCTATTTGAAGTTCTGCGTCAATACACAGTATGATTGATATCGTCTCTTTAAATCTACACTAGTTATATGCCATCTTATATTATGCACTAACTTATATTTTTAAGAATAACATATTATTAAAAATCTAATCACTAACCGCCATGAGCAGATGATATGGCAACTTGATCCAATACATCGCAAGACTTCTGACGTCGGCTGTGACACGACCCGTGACCCGGAGGCTGAATGAGCATCGACGACTAGGAAAATAAGATCGTGAAAATATGACGGAACCAACTAAAGTTTGGCCATTATATCTTTATTGAGGTATAATTGTCAACATTTTGTTGGTTATTATATTTTAATAAAGAACGAAGAACAAGAATTTTATATGTGTAAAATAACGATAAATTGTTGCTGATTCCTGTCACGTGTATGTCAAGGTGTTATAAAATGTTATTTTTGTGTTTTACAGTCCATAAATATTAGGAATAATCTAAAAACTAAATACAGACACAGACCCAAATAAATATTTCCTTTCGTGTTCCACATCAGTTTTCTGTGACGTCACTCCGTGTCCTCCAGTCGAGCCGGTTCATATATACCAAAGCATGGCTTAACTAAGTACTTTATTTTTATAATTAAGTTAGAATTAGGAAATAACGCAAGAATTCCAAACACATTTGAGGGTTGAGATCTATGATTTAGTAACTTTGACATTAATCCACTTTTGTAAAAATATAATTAGGATTAATTTATTTAATTAGTGTATAACTCACCTGGTGATGTTCAGCTGTTGGGCAATAATGATCACAGTTATCAGGTAACCACTTCGGCAAGGAATGCTTCACGTGACAACGAGACCGGACTTCTTCACTCACACACACTAGAGCTGCAAAATTGATCAAGATTACTTTTAGAACAATAAAAGGCTTTTGATTGAATTAATCTTAACTTTGCTGAGCAATAATGCAATTTCTTCAGTAGATGATATTGTCTAAAAATAATCATTATTAATTATGATATTATAAGTAAATAGACAATTAAAAACAAATTCCTAAACGTGTTATGAGAAGACACGATATGATTATATATAATATAAAGAATAGAGGTGTGCTACAAGGAGTAATACTATGCCCATTTTAAAATACTATTTTGTAATTTTGTATTTTATTATGCAGTGTGTACTTTTACACCGAAGTTTATTTGTAAATACTCGTAATAACGGCGACATCTTAAAAACATCGTAGCGACATCTGGTAAAGATAAACAAAAACTCATAGTAACTACCAATCTAACATCGCACAATTTTTTATTTTATTTTTTATTTTATTTATTAGGGACAAAAAACAGTTATACAATGCAGTCTTTACAATTGATTTGGCATTTACATATTTAAAACGTATAACCCACACTATTGTCCACGAGTTTACAGATAAAGTAGAAAAGGTAACGGACGCGCAGTATACACAATCGGTGAATTATATGTAATAATATAAGATAGATAGGTAGTTAACTGAGAATGTTATCATAGATCAGCAAGAATTTCAGTGCCAATTTTTTTAAATTTAGAGTGAGTGAGAGCGAAAATATCCAAGCTCGTAGCATGTGAGTTGTACGTTGTCAATAATCGGCGAAGAGGTGCACGCTCTCCAGCATTAGTTCTACACTTTTCCGTGTAGAATAACCGAGGTACGCGCGGTTTCCTTAGACTTGTGTCATTCAGTGTATATGGAAAGTTAATAGGACTTTTGTTCTTTGTGAAGGATATAAAGTGACATTTTGGTAAACTAAGGTGTAGTTTATTAACAACACAGTACTGTGAGAGCCTACAAAGATCTTCTTGCAATAGTATGCAATCCTGAGTATTCGTGCAGGTCTTATAGATTTTCATATCGTCAGCATACATTAGGAATTTAGAGTTAACTATACAGGTACTAATATCGTTTATAAACAAAATAAAAAGCAAAGGGCCTAGTACTGAGCCCTGGGGCACTCCGGACTCGACGACCATAAAATCGGACTCATAAACATTGATAACGACCTTTTGAGTTCTACGGAATATTTATGATGTGAACCACCTAAGTAAATTACCTCTGATGCCGTTGAAGGCAATTTTGTCCAAAAGCAATTTGTGGTCCACCTTATCAAACAATGAAAGTCTTCATGATAAATTAAAACGGTACTGTTATCGGGGTATTTTCTTTTAATGCGGGGAGGCGGTGTAATCATTATGTCCTTCTCTAATTTTGAGGTATATTCATAACATAATGCTAGAATTACCAGTGAGATATGCTACAGTATCAGGAGTCACATGGAATTTGTCCCTGTGCGTAGAACTTGACGCGGCTAATGACAGCAGTTTGATAAGGACTCTGCAAGTCCTAGAGACAGTCGCCGCGGCAGGGTGTCGGTAGCCTTTGATGAAGTGTCCTACTAGGGCGAAGTGGAAGTTGGAACGGAAACTGTGAATAAAAAAATAACGAATGAATATTCATTTGAAATAAAAAATATTTTAAAAATTTTGAGCGTTAGGATACACCATGCAGACCTGTACTCTTATCTGATATTCTTACCTTGGGACAGTCATACATCGATACATTTAAGCCAGCTCAACCGAAGTAATACCACAGAAAACCAGTGTTAAGCGTTTACTTTTTTGCATTACATGTTTTGAGTTAAATTACAGGATTACCCAGCCAGCCTCCTCCCTAAGTCTAGGGGGGGAGGGGGCACTCCAGGGGCTGTCCATTGGGAGAGTTTGTTTGACCTTTCTTCTCATGAGGCTCAACCACAACGCGCAGGCATATAATGGATTAACTTCATTTTTTTTATGAAATAACGATATTTAAAATGGAATTTGAGGTGGGAGTAACTTACCATCAGGTGCCCCGTCTACTCGCCCGTTGCCCCTTATTCCCCATAAAAAAAGATTCAGAGTTTAAGTCATCAGTTACCTCAGTCCTACAGCATGGTCCAGCTGCTTGAAGTGCCACTCCAGTGGATCACGAGTCTCCATCATCACTTGCTCTAACGTCTACAAGAATCACATAAAGAAAAAAATTTAATTATGAATATAGATTATAACTTATATAAAATTTCTTAAAACAGTTTACGTGAAAATAATATTAATAACTTCACACATCTCACACACGGTTGTTTGATGCCAAACTAGACAGAGCCTGTATTATGGTAACCAGGCTGCTAATAAAAATAGTTTCCCTAACGGAGGGTATGATATAAAAAGCGCGAGGAATACGGGTAAAAATAATAAGTGGGACTAAATTGTTATTGGCAAAATGATGGTATTAAATATGCTTCCTCCCTAACCCTTCGGGAATACAAGCAACAGAATACGTAGGTGTGACTAACCTTGTGCTGGAAATGTCCCTGTGACTCTAACGTGTGAAGGTTCTGCTCCATAAAAGCTAGTCCAGCGGCGTACAGGGTGGGTTCGTCCAACTGCAGCACTGACAATGCTACCCAGAACAGGGCCTTGTGGATTGGTGAAGCCTGAAAAAAAAAAAATAGGTTTTTATTTATTTTTAATAAATAATATGTATTGTAATATCTGTACATAAGGTGTATACAGGTGGATACTTACCGGGTATAGTAGAGGTTGCAGTCTGGTCAAGGACATGATCAGAGCCTCGAGGAGAGCCAAATCGTTGAATGACTCTAATGCTTTTACTAATACCCTCAGCAGCTGTTTCATGTCATAGTCCGTTATATTTTTACCTATAATAACATAACATTTTACCTAAATAACATCAATTAACAACAATAATTCATAATAAAAAATTGGCGTTCAAAATAAGTTACATTGTATTAGAGGTTTAGGACTTTCGGACCAATCGAAAATTCGAGAAGGCTTGGACTTTCAGGCAATTGCCAAATCAAGAGCTTGGACTTTCGAGCAATTGCGTATTCGAGAGGCCTTGAACTTTCGAGCCATTGCAAAATTCTAGAGGCTTGGACTTGCGAACAGTTGCCGAATTCCTAAAGTGTAAAATCATAAAAGCGTGCTCCCATAATTAAAGTTAAGTCTAAACTGATTGTCAGCAAAATGCGGAACGTTAATACGCCTCTGCCTACCCTTCTGGGGACACAGGTGTGAGTATATATAAGATTACGTGAAGATAATACGGTAGAGTTTGTTGGGCAAAATGAAGGCAAATAGTTAATTAATAACTTACTGATGCACCCGAATACTATCAAGGCTCGCGGTTGTAGCGCTGGGTTGAAGCAGAAGGCGAAGCTTTTTGCCAATGCAGTCCTGATAAAGGAAAAAAGAAATATATACAGTTCCTATCAATATTAATCGTAATAATAATAACTTTATTGAACTTCAATTCCTTTGTTACGCGTGAAGTGATTTGTGTGTATGTGTGTGTGTGTGTGTGTGTGTGTGTGTGTGTGTCTGTATGTGTTTGTGTGTGTGTGTGTTGAGTGAGTGTGAATTAATGAGTAATTAGGTTATCGGGTATTAATTAATACTAGGCGTACTTATATAATATATCTAAATGCATACGTATTACAGATACATTACACCCAGACATGGAACAATGGTCATGCTTATCACACACTTATTTGTCCTGATGGGGAATCGAACCCACGACTTCCAGCTCAGCAGTCAGAGTCACTAGCCACTAGACGTAAAAACCAGTCGAGAATAATAATTTCTTATAGATAATTTCTTATAGATAATTTCTTATCGAGAATAATAATAAATTACTTCGTGTCGTCTTGCGATGTAGACTGAATTAGACTGTAGACGACCATACAGATCACACAAAACATGGGTTCTTACCAAGTGTACAACCAATTACAATCCGGTATATCTCTCATGCAAGCCTCCATGATCTCCAGAAGCGCATCAGTGATGATCTCGAGCGACTGCAGCGGCAGGCGCTCGCGGTCCGACTGCGACGTGCTCGCGCAGATCGGCGCGCTCGCCGCCGCCGCCGCCCCCGCCCCCGCTCCTGCCCCCGCTACCGTGCCCGCCCCCGCCCCCGCGCTCGGCCCTGCGCCCGCGCTCGGTCCCGCGCCCGCGCTCGGCCCCGCGCCGTGCAGGCTGTCGCTGCACGTGCCCGACATGTGCTCCGAGTAACGCACGTAACTGCATAATAAATATACTTCAGCACCATCTAGCGGAGATTAATCGAATACGCAGTAATTGCTAATCCTGCATCGCACGATGAAAGTTTTCACACTTATTAGTCTATACTAATAAGTGTGAAAACTTTCATCGTGCGATGCAGGATTAGCAATAAAGTATTACATCTATATGTAATACCGGGAAGAATTACGTAACCGGCGAATTCTCTCACATATTGAACATAATATATGAGGTCAGGCTCTACCCATATGTAGTAACTTAGATCTAAGACGATCTAAGAAAGTTTAACTTTAGACGCGCTCGTTAATTAATTAAATACCCTATTCTACACTGTATGTACATCACACAGAACAAAAATAACAAAATAAGATGTATAGATAGTTCAACTCAGTGTGCGTGGGCTTGTAAATATAGAACTTTCATTCGTGTGGCAGTGACGCGGCAGTCGGACGACGACTGCCGCGTCACGCGCGCACAACTGACTTGAACTATCTATAACAATTTAAGGTAGATAACTACAAAAATTTTTATTAGATATTTAACACAATTTTATAAGGACAATTTCTAAATCATAATTTGAATAGGTATGAAGCTACAGTAGATAGCAGCATCCACTCGTTGAGCCTATTCAGTGGGCAACTGCTTGTCGATCAGAACGCATATGTGGCCCACATTAGTTCGATACTTACACGCCCCGCGTTGCGTTAGACATGATACTTCCGAAAAACTCCATAACCGTCAGAAAAATAGGAATTCCGTGATAAAAGTGATACAACAAACCTAAAATTAGACTATGACTTTATTCGACAAAGGTAAAACAAATTTTACTATTTTAACTCAGCATTCGAGTAAAACCCATATGTTTCTGGTCGTATTAGTTTCAGTCAACCGATTATGACCTTAAAAAAACTGATGACAAACTCACCAATCACTAGAATGTCTATTGTATGAACTCCTGAACGCCGTCACCGCAGCAGACTTGACCTTCGATATACCGAACATTTGGTAGAACTTGGGGAGGGCAAACTCATCGAGTGATAGCCTTAATACGCGTTGTGTATCTTCTGTAATAACAATAATATATTTATAATACTCGCTATTCGCGTTATTAAGGGCACGAAGTCACACGTGCGAACCGGCAAAGTTTGACTAGCTTCGAGCCCGACTCTCGATTCTAGGCGACACAATGCGCGGTAATTGACATCGAATATACTTCTGAACAAATTCTCTGAAATACATAAATGAGCTCAACAGTATATTCTAACTAATATTATAAACGAGAGAGTAATTTTGTTTGTTACGCTGCCACTCACTACTCTCTCTACTCCACCGATCATCATGAATTCTTGTATACAAGTAGTCAGGACTACAAAATAGTTCACCTTTCATCCCGAAAAAAGTTTTGTCGTTTGATCTATTCCACATTAAAGCGAGCAGAACTATATATAATAATATTTTACCATATTCACACAACGCCATCTAGTCCCAAACTAAGCGGAGCTTGTACTATGGCTATTAGAGAACAGATATAAATACATATATACTTTATTTTTGTAAATACATACATATTTTACATAGAAACACCCAGACTAAAACAAACATTAAAATGTTCATGCACACAAATGTTTGACTTGAGCGGGAATCGAACCAGGCTTAGCAGTCCGTAACACAAACCACTTCGCTATTCGACTATCAAAATATACATAAATGAAAAGAATATAATAAATAAATATTTACTGATCAAGCTATCTGTTCTTTCTTTCTCTAAATTTTATTCAAATACAGAAGGTAAATAAATTAATCTAAATAAAGGCATCTAAATTAATTTATGATTGGTTTAGATGTCTGTAAGCCTACAAATAGACCGTTATATCATAGCTGAGCCTTAGAAGTGATGGGTTCATCTTGAATTGTTTAGAATAGCAGTCCGTTACACAAACCACTACGCCATCCGGTCGTCAAATATAGTTTTTAATAACTATAAATAATATCACTCTTAAAAGGTATTATTCTAAAGCAATAATAGTTTTAATATATGTGATATTGTACATTACTTGATAGCTTTCAGCCGAAGCTTTGCATGCCTTATAGCTTATTGTCTTCTTTAGCATCTTTTTCTAGATTTACCCTGTGCCCGTCCTGGACCTCTGATGCATGTGCGCATGTGCATGTATTTTGCATAATGATGGACAGTTGAGTAGCTAAGCGGTGGTCGTTACAAACCCACAGATTATAGTTACAAATATGAATTACGACACCTCCAGTCGTACTACGGTACAAACTCACCAGAGAAGCTCGGTGTAGTACAAGTACATAGTGAATGTATGATGTTGATCACTAATCCATGGGTCGCTGCTCGCATGGAGACCGTCCCGGAGCAGACTAGGAACGTCACTGTATGAAACAGGAATGGGAGGTGGCGGGCCACGTCTAGGCAGTTGTTGAAGGATAACATCAGCTGAAAGAGATATATTGTTTTAAGAAAACTCCCGCACTAGGAAAACATCGTGTATCGCTGGGGACTTTACTAACATTCATGTAACGGACACAAAGAACACCTGGGTGTTCTTTGTTATGCTTGCGAAGAGACGGCTGAGCGGGACCGGGAGAGGTTTAGAACTCTGCGGGCCCGCCAGGCCCGGGAACGGGCCAGGTACCGCAGACGACACGGGCGCCGGTGGTCGCACAATGACCTCCGTTACATGATTGTTAGTAAAGACTCAAAACTCAATTTTTTGATCACACAAAGTGTTGTCCCATGTGAAGATCGAACCCACAACACCCAGCGCAGTAGAAAGCGGCGAGGTGACCGCTTAAAGCAATACGCCATTCGTGCAGTCGTATAATATTAATACTTTCCCGTTAGAATTGTTATTACAGCTGAATACATCGAGTATTTTTTATAATTTATGAGGCAAACGAACAGATCACTAGACTCGTCTATTGTGGTGTGGTTCAGTGGTGTCGTTTACAATTTTTTTTATTTCTTGGTAACGAAACCAGCGTAATGAAGTTTCTAACAATAACCTTATTCATTTATAGACATAGACTATTTTTCATTCGTAAGATCATGACCATGACCATTTTAAAAGTCTTTTCCAGAAGTTATATAAAAGTGAAACAAAGATACGGTGAAAAAAAATGAACAGTAATTGTATAATATCTGATCAAGTTTTATAAATTAATTTAGTTTCTTATTGTTGTAATGGATACAATTATTATGTTTTACAAATCCCTTGTGGACCAATTTCAACAGTATCATTAAAAATTAACACATAACGAATTGTTTTATTTCACATTGTACATCACTAGTCAGCAGTGGTGGCGTAACCAAAAAAAAAAAGAAAACGACACCTCAGTGGTGTGTTGTCGTTTACAATACACGACTAGACTACCAGGCCTGCAAAATTATTTGTAAACATTATGGAATATATTGAGTCTTGTTTTCTTTTATTGAGAAGGAGTTTTAATCGTTTTAAGACTGTATATAGTACTGTGCCGTGTTCTATCGAGTGGGGGTAACTTGTGCCCCCCCTGTTGAATTTTAAAAATTAGTGTCCGTTTCATGTATGTTTGTAAAGTCCCCCGCGTCATTAATATATATATTTATATATATATGTTCCTAATGCGGTCTTTTTAAAAGGAAAGAAAGAAAATAAATATATATGGTCTAGAAGACTATATTTTAAAGAGTCATTGTATATTTAATTTTAAGAGAAGGAATTTAGTGATACCTATAAAACAATGGCTGTTTTTTTCATGAATTTATGACTTTTTTTTTAAGTAAACTTAAACACGACCATGAGAAAACTTCTTATAATAAACTATATTTCCATAGACGAATTACTTACCAGATATCGAGCCAATATGGCAATATCGTCCCACATCATATGCTGTTCCAACATCGCTGTTGGAGTATGACACGTCTCGTCCACCACCTAAAGAATTTTAAACAATTAGAACATTCAAACAATATATTTTATATATCGGTCATTTATCAATATTAAAAAAACTGACGAAAGTTTAATTGAACGCGCTAATCACTATCGGTTCGAATTAAAATATTATTTTTGTCTTCTATAGCCCATTATAGAGGAAGCTAACATCATGCTACGACTAATAGGAGCGAGCATCAATGGAAAATGTTGCAAAAACGCGGCAAATTTCTACCTTTTAAGAGACGCAAACGAAGTGACGCGGGTCAGTTAGACGTACATATTTATTACGTCACATCATTCCAATCCATTTAAAAATCTTTGGACGAGATCATGTATGTCTAAATGTCATTAACTTTCAATTACACTACCCATATCATGCAGTTTTACTTGCGTTTATTGTTAATACTCAGCTCCTACAATGTTACAAATCCTATAAAATTCATCAGTAAATCAATCAGTCAATCTAATAATTGCATAATATGCCGAATTATATTAGTAGAGATAAACACTCTAAATAAACAATAAAACATCAAATCTCTTCAGCTTTATAATACTACTATCTATAGATTTTATTGTTTTTTTTTTTATGGAAACGAAGTTCCTTGTCGCGGGTCTCTGAGCGGATGGGAGCCAGACATAAACATCAAACATCTTTCTACACGAAAGACTCTTTTCCGACACTAGCAAACGTCTAACAAAAATTTAAAGGAACTTCGTTCCGGGCGGGGGTCTATTGACCCCTCACGCCGTTTTTTCATAGCTAATGTTTATTAATGTGTATTAATTCTATTTACTAACTTGAAGCTCAATCTAAAAACAGTGCAGGAATTTGGAATTTCTGATTTTCGACTCAAAATAATAGCTATACAAAATTTTGAAAATTATAATTTGCAATTATGAACAATAAATACAAACTTTATGTATTTGTTTTTTACCGGAAATGATAAGGTAAAACACTCAATTGAAGTGATATTTTTCCTATATATATGATATTATATATTTACGAGAAGGTACATTATCTTCATCATCAACAGCCTTTAGTAGTCCACTGCTGGACATAGGCCTTTCTTTACAAAGGAGGTTTTGGTCTACTATACCACGCTGGCCGGACGAGTTGGTGTAGTGTTTGTTTCAAGTTTACGAGTACACATTAAGTTGCATTTTATACATTTTCATCACTTTTGAACTTTCTATGTAACAATAACATAGATGCTAGATATGGAATGAAACTTTGTGATTGCCTATTTTTGACAGGGTGGAACATCCTCATAGACGTCCCCTTAGGGAGGAACGTGACGATGGGGTCTGTCGGACTCTTACAATTACCTACTCGATTTAGGGTGCATTAAATATTAAATACATGATTAAATGAAAATTTTAAACGCGTTCTTGGCTCCAAGTTCTATTAAACTGTCTAATAGAAATGTGTATATTTAATGTCAGCGATAATAAGAGAATTAAAATATTCTTTTTTTTATATTTTTTTTCGGACATCTGACATAACGCCGTCTAGTTTCAAACTGAGCAGAACTTGTACTATGAAAGCTAGATTGACTGACAGAATACTCATATACTTTGTTTTTTGTAAATACATGCATATTATACATAGACAACACCCCAACTCAAAACACAAATATTTTGCAGATCATACAAACATTTGGTCCGAAACTGGAATCGAACCCTCAGACCTCAGGACAGCAGTCGCATAAACTACCACTGTGCCACCGAGGCAGTCATTAAAATTAAAATCTGTTAAAAAAAGCTTTTCATATCGAGAATTTAAATTTTATGAAAGAAAATGAAAAAGTATTAAACATTAATTGCAGTGAAAAACAGTAATAACAACATAAAATATCACTCAATAGAAAACCTCTAAGCATCCACTAGTTAATATATTATTTATGTCCCATTTTATTGCATATTCAGGCTTGTATACCACGTGGCTAAGTAGGCCCCAGTCTAAAAGCAGGCCTTCTTAGATAAATGCTAAGTGCAAAGGACGGATATTGCATGCAATAAAGCTTTAACGCTGTGCAACATGGCAACACTAACACATCTACAACTTGCCAACTCAAAAATGCAAATTAAATCATGAAATAAAATTATGTACAAACTCACTGTAGCCGGGGTTACGGGACCCAGGATATTATTGGGCAGTTTGGATAGGGCCTGTGGGAAAACAACACATATAGCTTTCTTTTCTTAAGACTTGAGAATAAAATACGTTATACTGACTTTTAAACTTCGAGTCAACCAATTTCGCAGTAGGTGGCAAACGATCAGACGCGTCATCTGATGGTAAGTGACGACCGACGCCACTCAATAGTCACAAGCACGTTGTCTGCCGCACATTTCAATTACTTTTTTTTTTTGGATTCACAGATAAAATTATGATTTTTTTGCTCATAAAAAGAACATTATTTTGCAAGCTCAACTTTTATATATAATTAATAACGATATATTATTACGACACAACATCAAAAACACAATCCTTCTCAAGCCATCAAAATCATACATGCAATAATTTCTAACAATTAAAACAGTTCCATTTTTGCTTGAGTTTTCACAATGATATATAAATTTTGTTTAGGGGAATTGACGCGCTCACAATAGGTCGAGCATAGTGCAACCTGGTCGAAAGTTCAGGCATTTCAGAGGTATAATAAAAATATTTACGGATATCTGACACACAACGCCATCTAGTTTCAAATTTAGCAGAACTTTTACTAGGAAAGCTAGATTGACTGATAGAATACTGATATACTTTTGTTTGTGAATACATACATATTATACACAGCAAACACTCAAACTCTAAAAACATTAAATTTTTAAAAAATGCAGTTCTTTTGTCACCTTCAAGAAAAGAACGTACTCCTTCCTAAAAGGCCGGCAAAGCGTTTGTGACTCCTGAGTTGCAGACGTTCATGGGCGCCAATAGTCACTTTCCTTCAGCTGACCCGTTTGCTCGTCTGCCCCCTCTAACATTAAAAAAGGAAAAAGATCTTTTTTTTTATAATACAAACTTTCGGAATAAACCGGGAATCAAACCCGAAGCCTCAGCACAGCAGTCGCTCACCGAGGCGGTCAAGGTATATAATACTGTCGTGAGCGCGTTATTTCCCGTAAATATTTTAAGTTTTCATACTGATTTATTATTGTAAAGTCGAACAGGGTGAATGGAACTCCTGGTTTTAAAGTATTCAAAGGTGGTGGTATTTATAGCACTGGATGTTAAGTAGGAAGCGGGGATATCAAATGCCGGCCTCCCCAGTCCAGCCCTGGTCTGAAGCATTGAAGAGCGAAAAGGATAGCGAAAAGATACTCTTGGGTGAATACGGACTTAGGTGTCAAGTACTCCACGATGAAAAGTGATAAATTAGATTATTACTAGCCGTTCTCTGCTCTTACACCAGAGCTTATGAACAGTGCTCCAAAGATCCAAAGAGAATGCAGCATGGTGTTCCTCAATGATACTAAAACTATTTTTAATCTGACTTGGTCATTAGTGCGTTTCAATAAACAACACCATAAAAAATAACTCAAGAAAATGTACAACGAATGACGTCACGCGTTGGTGGTTTTAAATATGTTACCTTTAAAGGTATTTAGTTCAATTAAATAATAGATTATGAATTTTTGACTGATTCAAGATTTCGAGCATGGAAAACTATTTAATTATTGCCTTATTTCAATAGAATACTCATAACAAGCAAATTGGTAATATGGCAGCACAAAATAATCTTTAATTTATTTTCTTAGGGTAGGATCTGGAAAGAATCATCATCATCATTCATTTAAGAAGGGGTAGTTAGTGATCACGACATGGTGAAGGTCAAGAAGGAAGAAGAAGAAGATTCTTGGAAAAGGAACAAAGTAACAAATTACCGCAGAAAAATGACAGTATTCACCTATACATCCGTATTCACCCGACAACCGCAACTTTTTGATGAGCATATTTATAAAAGTTTCCATTCACCTGACTTACCCTGCACATCCTTATAATGACCTTTTTGGAAACCAGCTGCACGTTGGCTGAAGCTAATGCCACAGCTGTGTCAGCCATTATTTCTACCATCGGGGATCCGAGGCCTGAAATATTTAATTAGAACAGGTTACTTAGTGCAGAGTAAGCGCCTCTGGAATGGAATTTTTATCAACAAAATCAATTTATGCAATGTCTATCCACCTCAGACCGTTTGCAAAGAATTTTTAATATTTTGATTCTACTTTTTTTCTATTAACTCTTGCACATTTTAGAATAGTCATACTCGTATACTAGTCTTATGTTAGCTTTAGTAACAAACTTTATATAAGAATCTAATGACGATAAGATGTAAATTATATACAAAATGTGACCTTATTCTTATATGTGATAAAATCTATACTCAATCGCACCAAAACGGCTGAATGTCTTTTGATGAAATTTGATCCAGGGATTATTTTTTTTTTGACAATATCGATTTTTTTATGCTAACGAACAATACATTTACAGTTGAGAGCGAAGTTTTAGACGATTTCAAATAGTCAATAGCGTTCCCGAACGTCAGTACAAATCGCCTTTCAAAATATATTTTTTATTTTGATAAAATAAATAAATAGAATATATATTAAGCATTATACTTATAACAATAGTTTATTTATTTTCTCTCACAGGGTGAATATAAACAGTTACATGGGTACCGAATTTCGATACAACGATTCCTTAGTGAGAGCCATACTGTGTTCAAGACCTGTATTACAAATCTCCAGGACCCCAACATCTACATAATTATAATTATGCAATAATGCCTAACTTTATTATAATATACAATTAATAGAATAAGTTTGAACAATGTGCTAACAATACTAAGTATAGTTGGATAAATACTGTCGAAAAATTTGATCAGTGGTTTTAAAATATAAAAAGTCAGACTATTTTGTGACCTGATACAACTTCACTAACCTGAGTTGACACTCCTCTGTATAAAACTATCCAGCACCATGTCAATGAGTTCCGGGACTTGTCCGATAGACCCCCAGATCTTGGCCTGCACTGACGGATACATTTCTGTCTCCTCAATCGTCAGAGTGATCAACTTCTCCAAGATTTGGGCCACTTGCTTTTGTCTACGGGATTCTTCTGTAGGTTTGCAGAATCTGTTATTGAAACTTAAATTTAATATATGTGTTTATCATTTTATGGTTTATTAGGAACTTAATACAACTGACATGTCAGTCTCGTGGTACCTCATAACATAACAGATACAACTTTATGAAGTAATAAAATATAAAGGCGCCTTTTGAGGTTTTTGATACCGACAACATACGTATTTATATCTAATTCCTTTTCAACATGTTCGCCTTTAGATTTAAATCTGAGAAAGAATCGGTTAACAGCTGTTTTCTGTGAGGCCGTAGTATAACTCCTATCGAGTCGACCCATTTGTGTGTTAGTTGTATTTATTGTGGCATTTTTCTCCATTTGATCTGCTTTATATTTCTCCCTCTATTCTTCGAATTCATGATTGAATCTCATGATGGATTTCGAATCCATCATGAGATTCAATCATGAATGCCAAATAGTTTTTTGTCTCGTTTGTTCTCTAGACAGCGCTGCGTTATGTTCTAGAATATTATTGATATGTTGTGTGCTAGAGGTGTCCGTCAGATTTGACCAATGAGCGCTCGCGGTGCTAGAGGTGTCAGTCAGATTTGACCAATGAGCGCTCGCGGTGCTAGAGGTGTCCGTCAGATTTGACCAATGAGCGCTCGCGGTGCTAGAGGTGTCCGTCAGATGTGACCAATGAGCGCTCGCGGTTCTAGAGGTGTCCGTCAGATGTGACCAATGAGCGCTCGCGGTGCTAGAGGTGTCCGTCAGATGTGACCAATGAGCGCTCGCGGTGCTAGAGGTGTCAGTCAGATTTGACCAATGAGCGCTCGCGGTGCTAGAGGTGTCCGTCAGATTTGACCAATGAGCGCTCGCGGTGCTAGAGGTGTCCGTCAGATGTGACCAATGAGCGCTCGCGGTGCTAGAGGTGTCCGTCAGATGTGACCAATGAGCGCTCGCGGTGCTAGAGGTGTCCGTCAGATGTGACCAATGAGCGCTCGCGGTGCTAGAGGTGTCCGTCAGATTTGACCAATGAGCGCTCGCGGTGCTAGAGGTGTCCGTCAGATGTGACCAATGAGCGCTCGCGGTGCTAGAGGTGTCCGTCAGATGTGACCAATGAGCGCTCGCGGTGCTAGAGGTGTCCGTCAGATTTGACCAATGAGCGCTCGCGGTGCTAGAGGTGTCCGTCAGATTTGACCAATGAGCGCTCGCGGTGCTAGAGGTGTCCGTCAGATGTGACCAATGAGCGCTCGCGGTGCTAGAGGTGTCCGTCAGATTTGACCAATGAGCGCTCGCGGTGCTAGAGGTGTCCGTCAGATGTGACCAATGAGCGCTCGCGGTGCTAGAGGTGTCCGTCAGATGTGACCAATGAGCGCTCGCGGTGCTAGAGGTGTCCGTCAGATTTGACCAATGAGCGCTCGCGGTGCTAGAGGTGTCCGTCAGATTTGACCAATGAGCGCTCGCGGTGCTAGAGGTGTCCGTCAGATGTGACCAATGAGCGCTCGCGGTGCTAGAGGTGTCCGTCAGATGTGACCAATGAGCGCTCGCGGTGCTAGAGGTGTCCGTCAGATGTGACCAATGAGCGCTCGCGGTGCTAGAGGTGTCCGTCAGATGTGACCAATGAGCGCTCGCGGTGCTAGAGGTGTCCGACAGATGGTATGGGTATACATATAAAACTTCTTGTTGAATCATTATCTATTAATGAACACCGCATTAAAATTAGTTGCATAATTAGAAAGACCTAAGCCTACAGAAACGGGAATTTGCAACGTTCCTTTTAAATCTATGATGTTTTTTACTTTATGTTATGTTACAAATAAATAAAACAATTTACCTGGTTAAATTAGCCAACCATGGTGTCATGTATTCCAAACATAAATGCTTCAATTCAATCGTAGATCCTCGGAAACCCTGTAAATGATTATATACTCTAATAACACAACTATAAATATCTATATTTATTAATAATTGAAGAGAATTCATTTTAAAAGAAATGTAGAAACGAAAAATGAAATTTTTTTGAATATATATATATATCTATAGTTTTTAAACAGTATGTGGTACTAAATATTTTATGAAAAATGCTACATCATATACATTCCCAGTATATTATTGACTTATTATTGTATGGAAAGTGTATACAATGATAGTCCAAATTATGCTGAAAATAAATATCTGCCTAGGAAGCTCTTGAAAGGATGTTAAAGGAATATTTTCCCATTCATTCACGATATAATTTGATAATTTGAGTTCTGGAAGCGAGATCAGGAGACGGTTTCGTTGTCCCACACATCGTCCGAGCTCGTCCGAAGCTCGATCGAATTGAGATCCCGGGTGGGTTTTGCCTTCAGTTAATGTTCACTTCTTCATGAAATAATCAGCCCAGATTCATTGCTCTTAAATTCATGCTAATATTATGAATGCGAAAGTCTGTCTGTCTGTCTATTACATCTTCACGCTTAAACCGCTGGATCGATTTAGATGAAATTTGGTACAGAGATAGGCCGAGTCCCGGGAAAAAGACATAGTTTATATCCCAGAAGTCATCCTCTTAGGGGGTAAAAAGGGGTGTAGAAGTTTGTATGGGGCATCAATAACCGCTAAACCGATTTAGATGAAATTTGGCATCAAGATACCTTGATTCTTGAGGAAAGACATAGACATTTCACCGTCATAGCCGACATTTACGTTGGCCGAGCCGCGGGCAAAAGCTAGTGTATGATATACATCGGTGACACTTTACTGTAGTCCATTCGCGTTAAGAAAATAGTGACGCTTCGATCAAGCCCCGGCTTCTGACCAATCAGGTTTCAAGCTTTCGTACGAAACTGTTAATCCTACGGTGGCCTACTTAAGTATAGTACAATTTAAAGCCTCTTGCTAATACTTCAAGGTGAAAAAGAAGATTTATAAGAGAAAAAGCAGTAATATTTTATTACCTGTATACATTCTTCTAGAAACTCCAGAGTGAGATGAGGCTCGTTGTGTGCAAGTTTCTCACTCACCGACTTTATGAATATCGTGTTGTTGGATGGTATGCATAGGCCTGAAAGAGTTAAGATGGTACATAGAAAACAACGTCTTACTATAATCTATGCAAATGTCGAATTAACTGGCAAGAGTGTATAATACCTACATTTTATGTTCGTTTTTCGTCACATTTTATGTAATTAAAAAACGATGTAAGGGGTCTATGGACCCCCATTCGGCAGTACAGACTATACAGTCGTTATAATTTATATCATAAAATATAAAGTTAATAGAGTTAAATTGAAAAATTTATAATAAAATATATTAATTATTTTATGTAAAATAAATAATGATAAAATAACCGCTAAATGATCTGGGACAAGGAATGTCGGAAATAAGTCTTGTTACACATTTTTCGTTCTCACTCCCATTCGCTCAGAGCGTGTCACGCGCGATAAGGAACTTCCTTCCAAAAAAAGGTGGTTAAGTCCCCGCCGCACCGTTCAAATCATATGGGTGGGTGTGGAATGAACGTAATCATATGTGTTTTAAAGCATCAGAGAAATCACATGTATTTTTTATATAGTGGTATAGATGGCTGGTAGGAGTGGATGCGAAAAGTCGAAAATCGATAGAAGTAGCATGCAATAGGAGACGCCTATGTCCAGCAGTGGACTGCGATTGGGGGAAAAAGATCATGATAGGGCAAACAAGCACACTATTTGCACCGAAGTATTGCTTTTCCACAGATAAGGTAAAATTATGTTACCTGATGTTTCCAGTAACTGTCCCTCGATTTTGAGATGGAAGGTAGCTGTGAGAGCACACAACTGGTTGTAGGCCGCAGTGCGTAGGTTGGGATCGCACGAGCCCAGGTTCAGCAGAGCCATGTTCAGAAGGGTTCCAGGTACGTCTTTTGGTCGAATTTTTTGGTGGACTGTGACTGAATCCTTTAAAATAAGTAGAAAATGATAAACAGAAAACAGAATATAAAGCCTAGAAAATGGTACAGTCAACAATGAAAATGATAAACATTCTAGCGTTCGTTTTCAGTTCTATCTTTCTTTATGATCAACATATTAATAATAATAATAACTTCACACATCCCCACACGGCTGTCTGATCCCAAACTAGGCAGTCTGTGCTATGGCAACTAGACTGCTGATGAACTTACTTATATATTTCTAAATACATACATATTTATAGATAAATTACACCCAGACACATAACAAATCATCGTGCTCATCACACTATTATTTGTCTTGGGTGGAAATCGAACCCACTATATATTAAATAATTATATTTTCAGAAATATTTTTGTCTTTCGCAACCAAGTGTTATCAGAAAAATAATAATAATATTCTACCACTAATAATAATATTCTAAGCAAAGCTTGTACTATGGGTCCTAGACAACTGATATAAATACATTTATACTTTTTTTTTTGTAAATACATACATATTATACATAGAAACACCCAGACCAAATCAAACATTAAATGTTCATGCACACAAATGCTTGACTTGAGCGGGAATCGAACCCGCGACCTTTGGAATAGCAGTCCGTTACACAAACCACTACGCCATTCGGTCGTCAAAATAGTACTAGTAATAATAGAATGGCAGAAAAAATAATAATACCGAAATCAAAATCGCGCGCAAAAGCTAGTGGGCAATACTGACCGGTTGACTGAGCTCCCATCTATTTCTGATGTGTATGATAGACTGTACTATGTTGTCACAGTCGTTGTGGATGAAGCTCAATGGAGTCGCTTCGTTTACTATCGACAGAGAGAACTGGTTGTCGTCCACGAGACACACCTGAAAACAAAATAATTAAATAATGGACTGAAATAGTGGTTGAAAACTAGGTTAGGGTCGGCATTGAGTCTACTACGATACAGCTGAACTTCAATTTTTTTCCGAGGGGTGACTGTAATCAGACCTCAGCAACCCAAGTACTCAATTACTAGGCGGTATTGAAGTTCTGTAGAACAACTGTGGTCGGAATTTTGAGAGCTTCAACTACCCGTAACGATTGCCACAGCTGTTCATCGTTCGTTCGACCGACGGCTTAACGTGTTCTCCGAGCCACAGAAGGGCTCAATGTGTTAAGAATGGTCAGCCATCGTTAACCTCTGACGCGTCGCCGTCACAACAGTTGTGCCACCAAATTTTTACGCGGTAGCGTCTCTGTCACAACATTTAGAAGAATATATATCAGGGATTCCAAATATGTTTATTTCATTGAATATAATTATAAAATAACATAGATATTGAGGTAATAATGACTTCGCTCAGCTGTGACTGGGTCACTAGTTCAAGGGCGCGACAGTAACATAACATAGGTCATCCGCGCGCCGCGACGTCCTAAGAGTTAAATCGACCTGGCTAGAATTGCAATGTGTTAACCAACTCAAATAAATACAAAACTAAAGCAAAATCATCTAGTGTTAAGTTTTAAAGACATTTTTTAATGATGACGTGAATGAATTAAATGACCGTGGTTGAGTCATACTTCAGTATGACTACCGGAGAGATATCATCGAGAGAGATACCAGATAGATAGATAGATATAGCCTATAGCCTTCCTCGATAAATGGGCTATCTAACACTGAAATAATTTTTCAAATCGGACCAGTAGTTCCTGAGATTAGCGCATTCAAACAAACAAACAAACAAACAAACTATTCAGCTTTATAATATTAGTATAGATAACTAAGTTAATAAAGTATATTTCACCTCATCGATTTCCGATGCGTAGTATACGTCATTCAGTAAAACGGGCAGACCGAGCACCTTGGTCTTTTCAGCTGAGGTTATTTGAAGAGCTGTCGGTCCAACCTGAATTGAAAAATAAATTATCAATAGAACAAATTATACACTACCAGTTATACCCTGCCACCCTCACTGTGGTACATGGTGGTTGCAAAAAAGGAGATGAAACCATCTTTGAAGCGTGTTGTCAATTGTAAAAAGCACCCCACGGTTTTTATCAAATTTATTAAAATTGATTTTCTATTTTTAAGTTTGGGTTTTATAAAAAGCGTGTTTTTTAGTTTTTTTTAAGTATTTTTTTTAATATTATTTATTTTTTATTTTAAATTAGTGAATTGTCATCGGTCCTTGATATACATATCTACAAAGCTTGAACGAATTCTGACCGTTTAAAGTCAGTCAAAATGACGCCCAAAGCAGTCGGTTACAAACAAACATACAGGTTAAGCTAATAAAAAGCGTGTTAAAAAAAAGGTATATTTACCTTTATAGCAACTTTGGTATCCTTGTGGGACAATTTCAACGCGTTGTTGAACACCTTCAAGTCTTCTTCCAGAGAGAGAGTGGCGCCCGGCAGCTTCTGCTGTTCACTCTCCACGTACTCACTCAAACGACTATGGTTGTCGATGAATTGTAACTTTCTGTTGCCCTGTCGAACGAAATTTGGTAAATGAATATCGTGTCAAATTAGATTATCTTTGTTAAATCTCAAAACGATGTCTAATGTTGAAGATTTTATATCTAATAGTAACGTCCGTGTGATGATGGATTAAGAATACGGAGTATCACCCTATTCATCGCGTGGGTGTCGTAAGACTAAGGAAGCAAACTACGCAGGATAATAGCACAACAAAGAAAAGGAAATCTTGATACAAACCCTATACCAACCCGTCTGGCCAGCGTGGTATAGTAGGCCAAAACCTACTTTCTAAGAAGAGGCCTATGTCCAGCAGTGAACTACTAAAGGTCGTTGATGATGATGATGATGATGATGAAATATTTTTCTCCTGTTTGAATATGTTTTAATATGCTTGCAAAACTAAAATTCAAACACAACAGAAATATAAGACGTCATTAAGCTTTCTGTCCGCTACTGTCAATTCACCTATAATTGACGATGAAACTAACGAACTAAAAGAAAAATAATACATTATAAATATAAAAATTATAAATTTGGGGTATTGTGTGGTTGAATGACCGGATGGTTGCTTGGCTAGTTAGACAGTTAGTTGGTTGGTTAGACGGTTTTATGTTAGATTATTGGTTGATTAGTAAGTTGGATACACTTTTTTGTTGATGAGTTGATTGGATAATAACACAGTGTCAGTAACTCACCCTGAGCGGCGCCAGTATAACTTCGTGAAACTTGGTGTACTCGCGCACCCAACTGTTACAGTTGTATATGTAGCACGCATGTATATTTATATATGCCACCTCTGGTAGCACTGTGAACCACTTTTGTAAGAAATCCGTCCTGAAACAAAATGCAGCAAGTGCAATTTAATTGGTTACTAAATTCGGTTGCCACACAAATATTTCTAGTATTTACGGGCAGACGGGTCACCTGGGTCTCAATTCTGCTATTTTATGTTAACGTACAAGCCACTGTCATTCCATTAACACGCTATTGAGATGCCATTGACATCGGTCAAAATATCGATATCATACTAACATAAATTCACGGTGTCAATACTATTAACAACATTCCCATGTCTAGAAACCTAACTATTTCATTACAAAGACGTCGGACAACATTTGTATCAGTGGCAATTCAGTGACAAGTCATCGGGAGACCATTGGTCTTACATAGTTAGTACAATACGAAATGTGAAAAACTATTTTGACGACAGTCCATCGACAGTCTATTGATACAATATTACGGCGACTACCGCCCATGGTCACTCAGGCCCTTGAGTGATGGATGTATATAGTTTTTTTTTTTTTATGGCATAAATTTCCTAGATAGTTATAAGTAGAAAAACAGGTGCTGCTATACTGCAGTACAGGGGAACAGCAAAAGCGAGCAAGTTATGCTCGCGAAGGAGACGGCGGAGCGGGACCGGGAGAGGTTTAGAACTCTCCCGGCCCGCCAGGCCCGGGCACGGGCCAGGCAGCGCAGGCGACTCAGGCGCCGGAGGTCGCAGAACGACCTCCGTCCTCCATAAGCGCAGGCCTGGGGGTGACAGGTGAGGCCATCTGTCACCCTAGCAGAAGCAGGCCGGGGTGGCGGCGAGCGCGTTGCGAAGCGCGCTCGCTTCCAGGGAGCACAGGGAACATGGGGTTCCCACACGGGGCGGGGGTCGTCTACTCGTCTGTAGATGACCCGAGGTATGTCGGGGCACCAGGGCCTTCCTTTCTAGGGTATACCTGGTTCCCCGGCTATTAGTACCCGGCGAAGGCGTGCGGTTTTAGTCGGTTCGAGTCCGACATGCCACCGACAGGTGGTATCCGAGGGGATTTCCGCACGGAAAAAAAAAAAAAAAAAAAAAAAAAAAAAAAAAAAGGGGAACAGCAAAAGACATAGGGCACCTTACATCCAGAAGAAAGCACTTTCCAAGGGATGGAAAAATTGCTTTTACCTAATATTATATTTATGTGTGTGTACCTAAATCTGTTGTCAGAGTTGGTGTGCGTGAAGTCTACTATCAGTTCAAAGGGTTGTTGGCAGAACGGCTTCAGTGTCAAGATCACGTGGTAGATGAGCAGGTCCGCATTCACTTCGCCTATCCTGTAAATATAAATGTATTATTATTAAATACTCTTATTTGAAGGAAAACTTGATACAAACCCTTTTTTTTTTTTTTTTTTTTTAACGTGTGGAAATCCCCTCGGACCGTCACCCCTCCGGGGTTTGCGGCGGGGTGGTGTGTCGGACTCGGACCGACTAAAACCACACGGTGTGCCACTCTGCGCCTGTAACAGGAGGGATCCGGGAACAGCTGTTGTTAAGACATCCGGACCCCTCCTAGCGCCAGCCCGCTCCTGTTGCGGGCTCCGTCTCAATACATTTTCCTCTCTTTAGGCGACGTCCGGCACACGCGGACGCCGCCCCCTCGCGGCTGGCCAACTAATGCGGGTGGAGGGGAAACCCACCCCGTCCACCCGCGGCCACACTCAGGGCGGCATGAGGCTGTGGTAGGCGGGCCTCCGCCGCCCGGTTCGCCGGCGGCGGATCGGGTCCGAGTGGAGGTCGTCCTCCCGGGCCCTCTCCGCCGCCTCCTTCCGCGAGATTACTACCTCGCAGAAGGTTGCGACCGCGGTAAAACAACTGTCGCTACCGGCCATGGAGCGTACTACGGCCGGTAGCGAGAGATCCACTCCGATGACTGCAGTGAGGGCCCGGCGCTGCGCCGCCCATGCGGGGCAGACCGCCAGCGTGTGCTGGGCCGAGTCCTCACTGCAGTCGCAGTGGTGGCAGGCGGGACTCAGTTCCCTCCTAGCGACCGTGTGCAGGTACTTTCCGAAGCAACCGTGCCCGGAAAGCACCTGCGTCAGCCGGAAGGAAAGGGTCCCCTGCTGCCGCCCTGCCCACTCGGCGATGACCGGCTGGAGAGCCTCCACGGCGGCGAAGCCAGCGCGTGGAGTCTCCAGCCGGAACGACCAACGAGCCATCGTGGCTCGGCGAGCGGCTTCGCGCCACTCGCGCACATCCTCGAGGCGGAGGGCGGAGGGCGAAATCCGCTCTCCGCCCGGGAGTTAGCCACTCGCCGATAAACTTCGGCGAGCACTTCCGCCTCCAAATCCCACGGGGGAGTTCCGGCCAACGCGCATGCCAACTCCGTCGACACGGTGCGGTAACCGCGTATGGCTCTGACCGCCATTACCCTCTGAGGGCGCCAGAGGCGTACCCTATTCTGGGCGGTCAGAGCCGCCGCCCACACCGGTGCACCGTACAGCGCCATTGACCGGACAACCCCCGTGTACAGCCGTCTTGTCGCGACGCTGGGTCCACCCATATTGGGCAAAAGTCGCCCTAGGGCAGACGCAGCGCCGACCAGCTTTGGAGCAAGCTGTCGGAAGTGCTCGTCGAAGAGCCACCCAATCCATCCATCCATCCCGTCGAGGATCAGGCCCAGATATTTCATCTGGGCCCGAACCGGTACGAGGACCGAGTTGACCACGATTGAGGCGCCAGGGGGTGGACCACGACGGGGCCCATGGAATAACAGGGCCTCCGTCTTATCGAGGGCCACCCGTAAGCCCAGCGCCTCAATGCGCCCGACCACCAGGGAGACTCCCCCTGTGGCCAGGCGCGCCGCCTCTTGGAAGTTTGCCCCCCGGGCTGTCACGAGGGTATCGTCTGCGTAACAGATTACACCCAGCCCGGGGGGGAAATCGGCGCGAAGGGCCCAGTCGTACCCTATGTTCCACAAGAGGGGTCCAAGAACAGACCCCTGTGGAACACCGCACGACATGGGCCGACACCTCAGATTACCTTCTCGGTACTCGTACACGACGGTACGCTCCTCTAAATAGTCTGCCACTAGCCGCCTCAAAACCCTATGCCAACCCGACTGGCCAGCGTGGTATAGTAGGCCAAAACCTCCTTTCTTAGAAGAGGCCATACCAATTTTAGAAGAGGGCATACCAGCAGTAGACTGTTATAGACTGGTGATAATAATGATCATTCGTAGAATGAAACACTGCCAGCAGGGATGTCGACCATAATCTTGTGCAAATACCGTGGCATGAAAACAATGGTGTGCATATATCTCCCTATCGCGTATGTCATTAGAGCCACCTTTGTCACATTTATTTGTGCTTAAAGTAATAAAATAAAAATAAGTAAATCTACTAAGGGATACTAAGGGATAATGTGGCAGGCGGCTGAAATTCAAGCAGAAATCTGCTTTACCCCACAACTTTACAAATTTAATTTCAAATAATTACTTGACACATGTCACACACAGCTCTGATCCCAAACTAGGCAGAGCCTATACTATGGTAACCAGCCTATTGATAAATATACTTATATATTTTTAAATACATATTATAGATAAATTGCACCGAGACACAGAAAAAAAATATTCTGGGTGAGAATAGAACCCACGAATTTCGGCTTAGCAGTCAAGATCACTAGGCACTAAACCAACAGGCCAGATCACTTTACAAATATGATAAAAAATCTCACTTTAAAATGTTTTTATTTCATTTTAGTAACTTCAACTTTGGTCTAATTTAATTTAAATGCCGCTAGCAGACTTACTAAGAACAACTTACTTATATCTTCTAGAAATAAAATAGAAGACGGGATTCCCGAGTTTGCTCGTCCCCGCCTGATAGAATATGTTCAGGCTCTTAATGCTTTTGAATTCTTCTTTTTTGTGCATATTGTGCTTCACGATGAATTCCTCGAAGTTTGTTGAGGAAATGTCTATGGATGACCAGCGGGCGTATGAAGAGAACAGCAAGCTTGATGTTCTGTAAGAGAAGAAACAATTTTGTAACTGCATTATAATATTGACGTTATCAGACATGCACGTAGATGAATGATTATTTGCCATATCAAAGAAACCTCGTGTGCATTGTCAAAGTTCTTTTTCCAGTAAAAAAAGGGCATAACAACTCTATTTTTAACGCATCTACTTTAGAAATATTAGATCTGTCTTTGACTCTGGCTACTTCGCCTTGTTACTCAATTACGCCAAAACGGTTAAACGGAAATGGATGAAATTTGGTACAGTGATAGATTATAGTCTACAATAGGACATTTTATAGGACAGGCCACTATTTCAGTATCTGCATACCCATGTCCCAATTTTATTTGGGGTCGGTGCGGTATGTATGATTCTTGTATTCTACTCTATCTATCCGTCATTTCACTGTTCACTGCCTTCCTAGCCGTATCCTCAATCCACCTTGGATGGACTGTGTGAATGAGGATCTTTGATCTTCCTCCTCTCTTGTACTCTTCAACTCCCATACCTAACACTTTCTTCGCCATATTTTCCTCATCCCTCTGTATGACAGGCCACTATTTATCAAGGAAAAATGAATTCACAAAATTGACGCAAAAGCTGCTATAGTTTTTGAACGGTCGTTTTTAATTAAGCTTCCAAACGACCGTTCAGTGTATCGGGTATTTTTGTTTTGTGGTACCAATATGGTGTAACATAAATACACCAAAATCTCATGAAACCGTTTTTATTTTTATTTTACGGTATAGGGGATACTCTATAGGGGTTAAATATTTTCACTTACGATTCAATAGGTTTATGTTCTGGAGGTCCCAAATAAGCAAGGAGTGTTGCCATCTGTAATAATGAAAAAAAAAGTAAAAAATATAAAATTTTGACACTTTATTGAGATGGCCAATGCCAAAAGGTTTTTATTTTTACTTTTTTATTAATCAAAGATCATTATAATATGAGATACACATTATCAGGACTACAGAAAAGAATATAGGGTACATTTTAGTGTAAAAAAAATATCTAAATAATTCTATAAAATTTAGGCAAAGCCCCCGGCACCAGCTAGTAATTTATATTCTGCGGTTTTAAATAGAGGAGTTGTCTATAGTTTAAACATTATTCCGGTCCGTAAAATAGACAAGAGAGTACCTTATCGAAGGGCCTCCTGCCGACAGCCTTGTGGTCCCGGCTGCAAGACAAGTAGTCTCCGATCCTCTCCTGGTGGTTCCACAGCAGGCGGTGTAAGGCGACCACGTTGGCGTCGCTGATGAACGACAGGTTGTGTGACGTCTGGTCTATACTCTCGCAGTCCGATGCGATTTGAATAAAGAACCTGTGAAACAATTATCTTTGTAACCAACTACAACAACAACAAACCAACGGATTTCTGACGTAAAAAAACTTTAAAAAATAGAGGAGGTACTCAATTCGACTGTATTTTTTTTTGTTTGTTACGTCAGAACTCCGTTTTTTATGTACCGATTTGGGAAACTCTTTTTTGTTTGAAAGGGTATACTTTCCGTTTGGTCCTCATTCGAATTTGAAGATAAAATTTCACTGCTAAGGGTGAGCAATTAAGGAATGAACAATCCAGTTAATTATAATTGATACCGATGTAGGCATTTTTTTTAAAAGATAACTCCCGCACCAGAAATAACAAGGTCGAAATAAATATTTAGACATCTATGTACCTAGACCGATGTTCGGAACAACTATTTGTGATTCTAATCTAACTAATCAAACTCAAGACTCAGAGCCTCAAATCAAAGTAGAAGTGCATCACTGATTGCAAATTAATCAGAACGTCGCTCTGTAATATCGGTTAAATAAATTTTCTTTACAATTTGTATAAACAATTCATTGTCGATCAGCTGAGTAGTCACGGTGGTTAAGAGTAAGAAACAAACCCACAGTCGTTGTGACTGTTAAGGAGCATACCCATATTACGTGACCCGTTCCGGGAGGGGGAGGGGGAAATACATACATATTTTAGATAAAGTACACCCAGACGCAGAACAAGTGTCTCATCTCACAATTATTTGTTCTGGATGGAAATCCTCATACCTCCTCCTACCTCTGGCGTAGCAGTCAGGGTTAACAACCAGTAGGCCAACAGGCCAGTCAAGTATGGGTACGTACGTATTATTTAACCAGCTACTTACTTTCGTCCAGCTTCAAAGTGCGCTCTCAGGAAATGGTTGAAGGGCAACATATGTTGTTCTTTGGAGAACTCCACGTGATTGGCGATGTTCTGCAGGATCTTAGACATCAGCATCAGGCCCCGCTTCACATAGGGGGGTACTGGACGGTTCACGATGCACATCTCTTGGGGTGACACTGCGACCAAAAGAAATGTAGATATATTCAGTTTTTTTTATAATCATGTTAATTCACATGTATCATCACACGAGTGTCATTCGTCATGAGTCAACATCATCAGCCTATCGCAGACCTCTCCCATTGCACGCCACTCAGATCGATTTTGGGTTTCTCGTCTCCAGCTCCTGCCAGCCATCTTGCGCAAATCATCGCTCCACCTGGCCTGTAGGCGTCCTACACTACGTTTGCCGAGACGCGGTCTCAGCTCAAGAACTCGTTTTCCCCAACGGTTGTCGGTTCTGCGGCTAATATGGCCAGCCACCTGCCACACCAGAAAAAGCCAAGACCATTTCGTAATGAAATAAAGGAGTACACGAAAGAGGATGATGACGAGTGATACAGAAGAATGGAAGAAGATTTATAATCTCGATTGTCGGCACTTAGTGGAACTTGTTGAATACATTATGAAATCAAACTCATTTGCATCTTCTTGTACTTATTTTATTTTTTATTTACAACTTTATGCACAACGGCGGGCTTAATGCCCAAGGCATTCTCTACCAGCCAACCTTTGGGGGGTGTAAAAATCTGGTGAAGTAGGTTGGTATATTATACTATTTAATTTAAATAGAGGAATATAAGTACAAGAAGAAGAAAATTAATTCCACCGGTCTCAAATAAATTTGAGATAAGAATCTGAAGATTTACATTAACCAAGGATATGCAATGTGTACTTAGAGACCCGCGAATACCGCCACGGAATCTGACTAGACTTCGTCGCTACGAGTCGCAAATCTTCTTCATATAGGAATGGATATGATTTTCAAAGCATCACAATTGAACAAGCCAAGTTCCATTTTTACTGTCGTGTCGTACAGTATTCCTACTAGTACTCACCGATAGCAGGGTTGATGAACCTCAAGAACAGTACAGTGCCGACAGCTCCAACCGACGTCTGCGGGAACTGAGCAAACCTTTTGCTTAACACCTGACAACAAAATATTACTTTTATATACTAATTTTATAAAGAACATCATTTAAAAAAAGTGTCACAAACTTAGTATTTCTGGTAAGCAACCCAAGTGGGCTAAATGCTTGTTTAAGGAGTGGGTTTATTTCGATACTGTACAAAGAGATAAGCGTGATTTTATTTCACATCTACTCGCTCTCGACGACGAGCACGTACGTCGTTGCGATTGGTGAAGATAGATGTCAGTGCAGGCCAATCGCAACGCCTAACGCGGTCACTGTGATAAGCGAGTTAATGTGGAAAAAAACCGGACAAGTGCGAGACGGACGTGCATGCGTGCGCGCGCGTGTGTGTGTGCGTGTGTGTGCGTGCGTGCGTGTGTGTGTGTGTGTGTGTGTGCGCGCGTGAGTGCATGCGTGCGTGTGTGACTGCGCAGCGTGTGGATGCGTGAGCTTATGGGCATGGGTTTGTTCGTGTGCATCCGTGTCATTAGCAACCTCTAAACCATTACCAAAGCATCGCTTCAGTATCGTCAAAGTTTAACCTCTTCAAATATCATCAGTCAGCATTCGTTTACTAGTGGCCTTTGTGTGGCGGAACATTGGTGTAACTCAGTTGACCTTGTTGTACAGCAAGGCGCCCATGTGGTAAAATAATCGTTTGGAATGTTTTGTTAAAAGCTTAATACGATGGATAGGATTGAATTTTTTTTGCCACTGGAGCGAATTCGGTTATAGGTCAGTAAAGAATGTTGTTTCAGCAGAGTGTATAGTATGAACAGCTGGTGCACCGTTAAAACTTCAGCCTCCTACATATGAGGGTATGTTAACGACTATATTTATTAACGTACCTGGTACAAGCAGTGGCACATGCTCCTCAGCTGTGGAGGGAACTTATCAGCCGAACCCACGATACGATCGAACACTTCCTTCGTCAGATCTAGTAAGTTGGTCCTGTTCATTTCGATGTCTTGGCTTGGGTCCAATCTGGAAAAGGCCTCTGGGTATTATTATAAAGAAATCTGAACCGTTTAGGCGCATTATGTCCAATTTGCATATTGTCCAACTGTCCAATTCTCGATTGGTGCAGTTCGCAATTAGTCTATTGGTCAGTTCGTTTCATTTTCTATGAGTTAGTAATTGGTTCCAACTACTACAACGAAATCAGTTCAGTTCTGGCACTTTCCGGATGAATATTGGACATTTTTCGAACTAGACATTTCACGTATTGGATCCTTAACGCCCGCTGAGCATTTTACGAATTGAACCTTCTGCGATTGAACCATCTGAACTGACATAAAACGTCTAAAAATAGTTTTGAACTAGGATGACTTGATTAGACCAGAGGGCCAAGTGCGAATTTATTTCACTTCTACTCGATCGTCACGGTGACCGCGTTCGGCGCTGTGATTGGCCCGCACTGAAACCTGCACCAATCACAACGCAAAACGCGCTCGCTGTCGAGAGCGAGTTGATATGAAATAAACTCGCACTTAGGCCTCAGAGGAATTAGTGTCTGTTTATTTTACATCAACGCGATAGTCTCGGTGACCGCGTTCGGCGTTCCAATTTGCCCGCACTGAACTCTACACCAACTACGCCGCCGAGTGTGAGTTGTTGTGAAACAAACTCACACTAAGCCCTCTAAACAGATACCCTGAACGCAAATAAAACTGTGGAAAACGGTTATTATTGTTTAGAATATTAAAAATAAAATAGTTTAAAAAGACGCACCTGGCAGGATCCACTTCGAAGCTAATGTCCACTCGTTCGTCGGCCTGGTCGAGTAGCGCGGTGATGAGGGGCTCCAATAAGTTCTGTAGGTACACGTGCCCGTAGATCTTGAAGCAGAAGGCCATTATCTTGCTGCCTAAGGAGTTGCCTCGAAAGAGAGTTTGCATGCAGTCGGAGACCTGGGGAGAGTAGTGAATGTCTTATTCTCTTTGCTTGAGTTCGCGGTTCTATCCGTTTCATCATGTTTTAGTACAGTTTTTTCTGGATGGAAGACGGTTTAAGCCTTTTTCTCCATCCCTGGCAATGTTTTTTTATATGGCAGGTTCAGGCAACATAGTGTAGGACGCCCACAGGCCAGGTGGAGTTACGATCTGCGCAAGATTACTGGCAGGAGCTGGATGCGATAAGTCGAAAATCGATCTAAGTGGCGTGCAGTTGAAGAGGCCTATATTTAGGAGTGGACTGTGATGGGCTGATTATGATAGGGTCAAGCTCTGGTAAACTCACTCACTCGGTGAAAAGCGACGAAAAACTGACCTAACACCAGTTTTCTGTAAGACCGTAGTATCACTCCTGCCGAGTCGGCCCATTTGCACCAAAACATGGCTCTTCCACGGTAAAGTCTTTGAATAATTCACATGGAAGTATCTTCCTCCGAGCCTTTTCCCAATTGACCTCCACAACCGAAATACTAGGCGATATCTTCTTCTCGAGTTCTGTATAAAACCTGTTGTCCTATTTTTTAGCGCTCCAACTATCCGTTACGATTGCCAAAGATGGTCGTATGACTAGGACCCACGGCTTAACGTACTGTCCGAGACACGGAGTTGTCTCAATGTGTGAAGAGTGGTCACCCATCCATAGACTGACCAGTTAGCTACGAGCCATTAATATACATGGAAATAACACAAAGAAATGAAAGTAAAACAAACTTACTTCAACTTCCCTGTAGAATATATTCCAGAGCAGCGGCGCCAGTAGATGTTTGGCATCGAACAACGTCACGAACACCTTCGCCAGTTCATCCATCTGGGAGGTGCTCACCACATTGGCCAGGGCCATCGCTATCGGAAGTTCACCCTGGGAACAAACATTGAAGACACCTTTACACCAATGTGATGGCAAACAATCAAACGACCAGAATGAATGTTAATGTGACAAATAAGGACTCACATAGAAATTTTCTTTTATTGTTTCTGTATTTCAAAGAACATTATAAATAAATAACTTGAATAGTTTGAAACAAATTTAAATGATTTATCTAAATCAATTTCTCTTTTCGCACCAACTTTAGATAAAATAGTTAAGACAGCTGATTGCTAAGTAAGCTGAGAAAATTATTAATTATTTTAGGCTTTCTATTAATAGACCTATTTAATTAAATAGTTAATTTCAATTTTCAAACATACTAACACTCAACTTGCGGTTTTAAAATTGGTAACGTAACGTAACTTATGGGTGCCCCTTTAGGAGGATTACGCATTTGATTGTATAAATAAAACAGTTCCATACCTTATCTGAGATCATAGTGACCAACTGGACGAGTTGTTCGAACCTATCCGCGAGCACAGTCTCGGCCAAGGTGTCGAACTCAGTTCCCTGCTGCAGTATCTTCGTGAGGACTTCCATAAAGGCGGCGCGAGTTTGTAAGTCACGATGGTAGCCCAAATCTAGAAGATTTTTACTTATGAATTTACTTCATTAAAAGACAACTCCCGCACTAGGAGTATATCCCGACTGACTGACTATATCCCACACAAAGTGTTGTCCCATTTCGGGATCGAATCCGGACCACTGAGCGCAGTAGAAAGCGGCGAGATGACAGCTTAACCCACTACGCTGTCCGTGGAGTCGAGTCCGAGTTTATTATATTAATTTAAATTGTTTTCTTTTTTAAATAATACTGATTTTCTATGGTGTATGGGGGAAAATGCGGACGGGACAGTGGCCGATATTGGTACGTAAAATACCTTTGCCCATAGACACCTGCAACCAAGAATCGGCAGTGAGTTGCCGACCTTTAAGGTGGGATGCTCTTTTCTTGAAAGTTTGAACATCGGAAACACCGCAGGCGACAGTTTTTTCTGCAGATTAATTGTGCTAAAGTTATTGGAAGGGTCTACCATTATTTAAGAGTAGCTGACCCTCGTGAAACTTACTGCTTTTGAAGTTCAAAAGGAATAACTTTTCTCCGTTTTATTACATTATTTTACATTGATGTTCGGCTCTTATTAGTACTAGCGTGATGTTATAACAATATAGTCATTAGTCCTCCTCGATAATTGGGCTATCCAATACTGAAAGAATTTTTGAATTCGGACCAGTAGTTTCTGAGATTAGCGCGTTCAACCAAACGAACTCTTCAGCTTTAGTATGGATACTTGTTTTAAGACAATAATTAGTTGAATAAAAACATGATTGTCCGTGTGGTGACGGATTAAGAATACAAATTGTCAACACCCCAATTCATCCCGTGGGTGTCGTAAGAGCCGACTAAGTGAGCAAACTAAGCAGGACAACAGCACTGCAAAGAGAAGGAAAACTTGAAACAAACCCTATACCAACCCGTCTGGCCAGCGTGGTATAGTAGGCCAAAACCTCCTTTCTAAAGAGAGGCCTATGTCTAGCAGTGGACTAGTATAGGCTGTTGATGATGTTAATGATTCACTCACCTATACTATGCATAAGCCCAGAATCAATATTGGCGCTCAGAAGGTTTGACATGGCTTGTATGGTGGCATTCCGAAGGGTCTCCAGCCTCCCAGGACCTTCAGCCATTTCTACTTCATTACAGTCGTTAAGTAGATTCATGAAGAGAGTGAAATATCTGAAATGTTTAAGAACATTCTAGAATAGAAACAGAAATGCCAACCCTATCAGTTTTAAGATAATGACGATCCCCAAATTACACAAATATTTATTAATAGTTATACCAAAATGTATATATATATATATAATATATGTACAAATAATACTGCAGGGGTGTACAATAAAGAGATAAATAAAATAAATATTTAAGGTCACTGCTCAGACCCTAAGGGTTGAAGCGTGATATCTGTTTTTTATAAGGACTTAATAGGCATTAATGCCAATTAGATTGAAGTTACCTACTAAGAGGTGTGTGCTTGAAGCATATATACTTGCTTGTTACTTTTTAGTGTTAATGTGAAAATAATCACCATTAATGACTAAAAAAGCAAAAATAAATTATAGTTTAAAAACACTAAAAAGCTTATACAAAATTATTTTCAACTTTTTAATTTGGCTAGTTACAAAAGCGTGTTGTTTATGAAACTATAATTTATTATTTATAGCGTTTATTTAAAATATCCCACACTAATATCATAACCAATTACTTAATATAAGAGTGCTTACTTAAGAAACAGCTGGCTCTTAGCCTCCATAAGGTCTCCACGGTCTGACTCCTCCGGTTGTAGAGGCAGCCCTTTGAGAAGAGATGCTACAGCCTCCATACAAGCCTGGTCCAGTTCCCTACAACAGCCTAGGTATCTGAGGACAGAAAGAGCCACGTTATCACAACACACACATAGACTTAGAAGAAAACAGCTCTAACGTCTTAGTATAGATTTGGTATTCATGTCGTCTACTGCTGGTCTAGTGGTTAGTGACCCTAACTGCTAATCCGAAGGTCGTGGGTTCGAATCCCATCCAGGAAAAATATTGTGTGATGAGCACGATCATTTGTTCTGTATCTGAGTGTAAATGATCTATAATATGTATGTATTTAGAAATATATAAGTATGTCGATCAGCAGTCTGAGTAACATAGCACAGTTTCTGCTTAGTTTGGGATCAGACAGCCATATTACATTTATATGTATTATTATTTAAAGTTATTATTATTCATGTGTTAGTATGATCGTTTGAGTGGGCTACAATTTTTATTATTGTATAAATAAATACTGTCTATAATAATAATCATCATCATCATCACATCAGCCGAAAGACGTCCTCTACTGGACATTGGTCTCCCCCAGGGTTCTCCACAATAATGGGTCCTGTGCTGCCCGCATCCAACGACTTCCCGCGACTTTCGACTAGGTCGTGGGACTAACTTGTAGATGACCTATCCACGCTCCGTCTGCCAGTACGTGGCTATCGGCCATCGTTTCTGCGAGCAATATACCCACTGCCACATTAATGCCAAGAATTTCACGCATCTTACACACTGACACCGGGATCCACAGGCAGTCACGGAACCCAACACACGCATACACATACACACACACACACACACAGAGAGAGAGACACGCGCACACACACATACACACACACATACACACACACACACACACACACACACATACCTAAGTTAATTGCATGTTTTTCTTGCTTTCAAACTATTGTAGTGTAGATTGTTCTAATTGCATCTTTATTGTTTTATAACCAGCTAAAAATGTATTTTAGTGATACTACAGAGGTTGCTGGTACTTATAGCCCAGGTTATCCTATTTTAAGTACCAGCAGAACACTATTTAATGTTATTTGTGTTTGGACTATAATTTTAAAATGTCTTATCCTGTATATACTGATTTGTGGCAATAAAGAATTTACTTTACTTTACGTTCGTCTGATCCCAAAGTAATCAGAGTCAGTACTATAGTAACCAGGCTGCTAATGAACATACTTATATTTTCGTTTTAAGATTGAGTTTTCAAATTATAAGTAGTGCGTAGCCGTGCGTGTCACATCCAGTAGCGGTGTAGTTAAAACGTCCGTGTACTGTCGACAACATTCGAGCGTTTAACAGAACTAGTTTGAAGTGTACCCACTTTGTAATATTTGGTTATTCCCTTTCATGTTACGTACTTTTGTTGTTTACTTTTAAGTTAGTAATAATTAATTTTAAAGTGAAACTGAACAAATCGCCTCAAATTTTTTCGTCCATCTATCGCATGTCGTATTATAGTCAAGGCCAATATGGCGGAGCTCGCATCGGCTTACCGTGTAGCATTTATATTCTCACTCATTCGTGCAAGTGCTACGCGGTATTTGTGTGTTTTGATCAGTGTATTGATGTAAAAAAAAATGTTGTAGCTGGCAAAACCTAATTATATAAATACATACTAAATAAAATTTGAATTTCAAAATTAACAATGAAATTATAGTATACCTGCTAATCGAGGAGGCATCAGCTCGCATGGGTGGAGCGATCTGGTGGCTGCTGCCCAGCACCCAGTCCGTTACGTACTCCACCATCTTATTGCGGAACTTCATCTCCTGACAGAACAAATATAAATATTATGAGAATTTAAGTTACTACAACTTTAACAGATGGTTCACTTCAACACTCATTGAAGCAAATATCAACTCTCTTGTAAAATTATAAAGTACAATTTATATCGCATAAAAACAGTGTATATAAATTATTAACACTAGATGAAGGGTAATGTGTGCCTATTTATTACATTTGAGACCTAATACATCAATCGCTCCTATAAATACTGCAATCTATACATATAAAATTCCTGGCACTGACTGACGGATTCTAAATCTAATCCAGAGCCTGAATCGCTGATGCTTATTATGTTGTAAGCTTAAGCTTTTTGTATAAGTTAAATTTTCATTTTATTTTAATTTGCTTACTATTTGACTAAACAGAGATTGTTGCTATTGTGTGTTGATTTAGTCTACATAAAAGAGGATTTCAAACAATTTGAATTTTTTTATGAAATAAAGATGTTTTGAGTTTAAGTTTAAGCACCGAGTGAGAAAGGCTTTTTGGAAATTTGACCCCTAAAGGGGTAAAATAAGGAATAAGTGTTTTATGTAATTTCATTAATTTCAAGGTTCGAAACATGACATAATAATCACGCTAGGGAAGCCGTGGGCTGGTCATCATATGTTTAATAGAAAATTAATTTATTGCAAGACCTTGTGTCTGTTTACCTTCTTTTATGTTTCTTTTTCGTTGGGATTCCAATTTTAAGAGAAGTAGTAGCGTTATACCCTACTTACTAAGTTACACGCGATTCTGCATGGGTTCATATTTAGAGACAAGTGTGTATATAAGGGCAAAACTATAGAAGTTAGAGATAGGGGACATTCTTCCCTATTTTTGTAATCATTTTCTTTATAAATATTTTCTTACATCACATAAACAGTCAACTGCTGGACATAGGCCTCTACTTATAAAGAAGGTTTGGCCTACCATACCAAGCTGGCCAGACGGGTTGGTATAGTGCTTGTTTCAAGTTTTCCTTCTCTGTGTAGTACCGTTGTCCTGTGTAGTTTGCTACCTTAGTCGGCTCTTACGACACCAACGGGATGAATAGGGGTGGTAACACTCGGTACTCTTAATCCGTCATCATACGAAATATTATGCGATATATGAAAATAATATATATCAAAATTGTCTTCGTAACAGGATCATCAAATTGTAGGTATTTTCAATATCTTCAAGATGAACCAACCTGTCTAAAGGCGAGGTCATCTCTTCTCCTCATCATAGCTTCAACCACTTGACAGAGTTTTGTCTTGATGTGCACCGACATCACAGTCATATCCAAGTGTCGAGCGTATCTGAAATAGAATAAGATCTATCAGCGAGACTTCCTTAATGGGGAAGAATCCCTCCATCAGCATTCACAAGATCCTAACATTTTTTTTATATTCATCATCATCATCATCAACAGCCTTTAACAGTCGACTGCTTTACATAGGCCTCTCTTTAGGGAGGAGGTTTTGGCCTACTGTACCACGCTGGCGAGACGGGTTGGTCAAGTTTGGTCAAGTTTTCCTTCTCTTTGCAGTGCTGTTGTCCTGCATAATTTGCTCTGCTGCATAAACACACACGCTATAAAAAGGGGTGGTAACACATTGTATTTTTAATCCGTCTCCTCACATATAATGTGGTGTTGTGATTAACATGAAATTTTGCACACGTTGTCAAGTGTATCAAAAAAATCTAAATAGTAGTTTTCAAGTATAAAAAGTACTGTAAGTGTTCCAATGGGGCATAAAATAATAGGCAAGAAGCTTGTGACTTTCCCCGGGATCGAGCATTGTTAAGCACGTGGTTGAGAGGTCGATTCGGAGGGGACCTTGAAATAATATAGTCCGGGTATTCCCCCCCCCCCCCCCGCCCCCCGTTGGTGGAGGTTTTTGATGAAAACCTCTACGTACTCTATGCTCCTGTATCAAGACGATGGCATCAACAGTGGCCTTCAAAAGTCGAAAGACTGTTCCTAATTCTTACCTGACGATAGCCAACATGAGAGCCTCGATAGAAGTGGTGCTCAGTATCTCGATGGGGTGTCCGCTCTTCTTGTGGGACTCCAGTATGCTCTTCATTATAAATATCGTGTGTTCCACGAATTGAGTGTTGATATCTGTTAACATTACCTACGGAAAAGTAGTCATGAGAAAATATTCAATGCACACGTAAAGAAAGGAATGGACTTTGTTAAGAGTTTATAAATTGTAGTTAAGTACAGTCTGAAGAGATTCATTACTTCTTAAAACCAACCTACTCAGGTCAATCCAAGAAGGTTAATTGTATTTTATATTAAAGTAATGACAAAAAAAAGTTAAGCAGTCGCGGGTCGTCTGGCAGATGTGAAACAAATAGCGTGGCGACGCGTCGCCACGATAACAGCAGGTCCGATAGTAGATGTTATAATTAATAAATTACCTGTTGGTGTTGGTCGAAGAATTTATCAATAATAGCCTTGACCTGGTCGAACAGTATGGGGTACAGAGCTGAAGACATCTCGTGACCGACCAGCTCTTTGACGTGAGTTTGTATCTGTTGGCCGAACCGCTCGTTGCTGCACAGCAGCAGGCGGAGGAGTTGGCCTATGAATCTGAAAGGAAAGGATTTTTAGCTTATTATTGTTTAATATACAGACAACTACTATGACTAAAGACAACTAGCATATGTGTAATAAATATAAATAGTGAGTCAACTCCCTTTATAGACCGGTACTAAATGCCTACAAGATAGTCTCGACGCCTAGTCGCTAAAAATGTTTAAGGGTTTGGCACAAAAACGTTTCCTTAGAGTAGTAGATAAAGGCTTGCGTTTGTCTAATCAAATAATCTCAGGTAGTTAGATAAAAATAGTACTTGCCTTCATTTTACTATATTTTACTTACATAGCATTAAATTACGAGTATTAAAATCTTGTACAAAAGGTTGACCAAATGTTATAAAACAGGTTAAAATTATATATTGGAGAATATTTTATTTCGTTTCTTTCGTGTAGGTTCAGTATTTCGTAGTCGGTGAGAATATTGGGCATTCTACCTTGATTACTGGAGCTTTCCATCACGTAGCTATTCGGATTACACAAAATAAATAAGAATTCTCTAAATAAACTCTGGATTTATTTGGATCTAAATACAGCAAGAAATTACATTCAGATTAGACAGTTCGAAAAACGAATACAACGCCTCCACCGGAAGAATGAAACACTTCAAAAATTATTGTTCTAAAATTCACTATGGCATATGCTATTATCAAACTTCTTTTTCAACACTCCCACTAAGTTTGATATAGCTTATACAGCAAAACACTTTCATTTTGTTCTATTATTATTATTTTTACTTCTATTTCATTTAGCGACATTACAAAACTGAAAGTATTTGATCCCTGATATTAACAAACTTCAACACAGGCAGTGCTTTTGTCAAAATATCGGCAAGTTGCTCTGAACTCGGTACAAACTTAATAGTTAACTATTTTTGTCTCACCTTTTCTCTAATGAAATTAAATTTAACATCAATATGTTTAGTTTTGTTTTTGTTTTTTTTTTTTTTTAATGACAACTCCCGCACTAGGAATAAATCCTGTGTCGCGGGGGACTTTACAAACATACATGAAACGGACACAAAGTACACCCAGACTCAGAACAACAATTTGTGGATCACACAAAGTGTTATCCCATGTGGGGTTTGAACCCACAACACTCAGCGCAATAGAAAGTGGCGTGGCGACCGCTTAAACCACTACGCTATCCGTGCAGTCATTATGATAAACAGGGTTGTTAATTAATTTTATGGCCATGGTAAAATCAGCCAGCATTCGTTTCACTTGTTATCCACATAGGTACTTATCGAACTGGTACCTTTATATATGCAACATATGGACTTCCAAATCATCCAAAATTCTTAGATATTTTCTTGCAGGTAAACAAGCTTCAAACACAATAGGTGTTTAACGAAGAAAACCACAAAATGATAAACTAAAAAAATGACTTTGTAATCCTGTAGGGGGAGGAGAGAATGGTCGCCGTGACCCTAGTCTACATGTTTCAAGTAAATCTTAATTGATTCAAACTGTCATGGTCATTATCACCTTATAAGTTATTATAAACGGGATATTAAGTATTGTTTATTTTCGGGAAAAAGTTGTCAGGTATTACGGCGCTGGTAACAGTGCCGTAATATTGATAACTAAACATCTGGTTTATAATAAGTTATCATTTACTTAATTATAATACTCACTGCGTGACTGGACAGTATTGTACTTCTTGTGAACTGTTGGCCAGAACGTTGAATAGTTTCCTCGAATCTGCAAACATATTAAAATGTCTATTAAAAAGTCTAATTCAGTTTTTTTTTTAATTTAATAATACATAGTATTATCATTTAAACGTTGTCCGTGTGGTGACGGATTAAGAATACGGAGTGTCACTATCCCTATTCATCCCGTGGGTGTCGTAAGAGCCGACTAAGGGAGCAAACTACGCAGGACAACAGCACTGCAAAGAGAAGGACAGTTGACACAAACCCTATAACAATCCGCCTGGCCAGCACGGTATAGCAGGCCAAAACCTCATTTCTGAGGAGATTCCTATGTCCATCAGTAGAATACTAAAGGCTGTTAAATGATAAATGATGTTTACTACTGTAAGTAAATCTTTTCAGATATTTTTACAAGTCGAACTTTATTTTTACAAGCTAGATGGAGCCGGCATTTCCTAAGACTCACTCAGGGAAGAAACAAATAAACAAACCACAGAGGTGTCCTTTTTTTAGTCCGGAAACAAAGTTTAAAAAACTGTGCAAGTCCAGTGTGGGGTCTGGCCTTTTGAAGAAAGGACCACAGTTTTGAGTCGGCCTGTCCAGCCTAACCGATACTAGTCAAGATCAACGACCCGAAGAGCGACACTACCGCCAGCAGTACATTTAAGTAGGTCGTGGACAACACACAACACTCAAAACCACCAGAAAGTTACTAAATATGAACTAACATTACAAGCCTACACTATACTCACATTTACATACTTACACAAAAAAATATACTTTACAATTCAAGTTCAATGAAAAAATAAAACTGTAGTTAAAAAATCATCGCAATATAATTTTTTGACATGTAACATTTCTTCCTCTCGCTTTTCTAAAATCTGCGGAAATGATTTTGTGAAAGTGTAAAAGAAGATAGGAGCTGCCGTAGGTAGATGAGATGTTTTTTCTTTTTCTTTAAAAAAGAAAATGCCCGTGCTTGAAATATATCTTGTGTCGCGGTTGACTTCACATACATTCATGAAACGGACACAAAAAAGACTCTAGAAAAAGAAAAAGGAATAATAATTTCTGGATCGCACAAAGTGTTGTCCTATATGGAGATCGAACCCATAAAGCTCATCGCAGTAGAAAGCGGCGAGGTAATCGCTTAAACCACTACGCCATTCGTGTAGTCAAACTGCCAACTTTAGCAACGCGCGTGTTCATCGGTTAAATCCAATTTCACCGCCGGTTTTCTGTTACACATTTCTGTTCCTCTTCACGGAATCTACTACTACTAAAGATATAGAACATAAAAAAATTGAGTGTTTTTCACTGTCTTTTCTTGCCCTCACCATGTCCATGTAAATGTGACCAGGCGATAGAAGGTCTTCGCTGCAGACACACTCCACCGAGCGCGCACAGGAACGAGGTTATATTCGCCCACTCTTGTATCTGCATCTATCAATAGGAACATTTAGAAAGACTCGGTCTTTGTCATCAACCTTCTAATATATATAACTGTGCTACAATACAGTAATTGAGTGTCAAGTCAAATCAAATCCCCCTAAAGGCCGATTGCCAAAGTTAAAATTCAGTTCCGATATACTTTCGATTTCACAATTGTCATGAAGGTGCATCGAAGCATGGCTCGGCCATGGTTAAAAAATAGTAACGATTTTTAACTTTTCAATAATATATTTACCTTAATTTTTTATTGTTGTTCAATTAACTATGTATTTATTTCATGCAACCTAGGAACATTAGTTAAATGAAACAGATTAATCATCTGAGAGCCAATTACAGGTTTTCCCTTCCAGTTTGTTCAACAGATTTGAGAGCTAGATAAATCTACAGAGGTTAAGGTTAGAGGTTTTTTGTGTTTTAGTGCACCTTTTCTGGCATTGCACAGGGCATTACAATTACTTGTAGTCTATTTCGTTTCTTTTATTTGCCTTTGATTTTTATTCTCTGTCCTTTTTTTCATTGTAATACTAAGTGCTGCCCTGTGAATGTCAGAATAAATGATTTTCCTGGCTTTCAATAGACACAATGCCAAGGAAACCATCACGAAAACTCTAAATATGTCTACGGACGATTCTGCTGATGCTAAACATTGTATTTTAGGTACCATAAAATATGGACCGTACACTTTTTCTTCGAAAATTCTAACCGCTTACCAACAGCCATATAGAACACTTATACTATCGCAATGACGTGAAAATGTATAATTTTACCTCGAAATCATGTTCGGAACTGGTGTGTTGTGAGACTCTCCGTTTAGCAACTGCTCGATGTAATGCCTCCATTTGACAATCGTCCACTTTATCCCCTTGTCCCTTAGGGTATTTCTGTAGTAACTTGCAAAGTGAATCCCTACGGAAAAATGAACATCCTGTAGTTTAAAAAAGCATGCTACATGATATCCAGGATCTATAAAAGCTTATTTAAAAAAAATACAATTAATTTATGCAACGTTACACTCAAACTTCAAATAACGCTAATATAATCCATACTAATAATATTAAAAATGCGAAAGTGTGTCTGTCTGTCTGTTACCTCTTCACATTTGAACCGCTGAACCGATTTAGATGAAATTTGGTATAGCAATAGTTTAAGTCCCGGGAAAGGACAAAGGATAGTTTTATCCCAGAAACCACCCTTTAAAGGGGTAAAAAGGGGGTGGAAGTTTGTATATGCAATCAACCGTTTTGTTTGTGTTTTTTTTATATAAACTATGTTAATCCGTGTAGTGACGGATTAAGAATACGGAGTGTCACCACCCCACTTCATCCCGTGGGTGTCGTAAGAACCGACTAAGGGAGCAAACTACACAGCACAGTAACAAAGAGAAGGAAAATTTTACACAAACCCTATACCAACTCGTCTGGCCAGCGTGGTATAGTAGGCCAAAACCTCCTTTCTAAGGAGAGGCCTATATCCAGCAGTAGACTATTAAAGGCTGTTGATGATGTGATGTGATGTGATGTTAATCTATACCTATCTATTACATCACGTATTGATGTGACTCCCTACCACAACTTCACAACAGATGTAGAAAGCCTGCAGCAGCAGTTCCCATACACAGTCGAGTCAGCTGGCAATGACGCGTAAAATGCTAGCCCGCACACAACGTTAAGACAAGACAGAAAAATGATATTGATGATAAATGCAATGAATAACTCACCAACATCGGAACGTCTCCTCCCAAACAGGTTGAACACCGTTCACACAATGTTCTATCTTCCTCAGTAAAGCCATTATTCGTTTCTGTAGAGCCGCAGCACCTGATACAACAGTTACATATTGTCACGAAATTTTACGAATTATCACCAACATTCCAGACATTTAGCCGCGCCATACTGCGAATATATCTTTATTTTTTATTTTTTAAAAGACAACTACCGCATTAGGACTATATCCTGTACTGCGGGGGACTTTACAAACATACATGAAACGGACACAAAGAACACCCAGACTCAGAACAACAATTTGTGAATCACACAAAATGTCGTCCCATGTGGTGATCGGACCCACAACACTCAGCGTAGTAGTGAGCGGCGTGGCGACCGCTTAAACCATTACGCCATACGTGTAGTCCATATTTCTATAATAATGCAGGGTGGCATGGAGCAAGAACCTTGTTTATATTGACAACGGCCAATATATTGTATACTAGCTGACCCGCGCAACTTCGTCTGCGTCTCTCATTAGTAATAAATTTTCTCCGTTTTTTAAACATTCTTCAATGGTGCTCCGCTCCTATTGGTCTAAGCGTGATGATATATAGCCTATAGCCTTCCTCGATAAATGGGCTATCTAACACTAAAAGAATTTTTCAAATCGGACCACTAGTTCCTGAGATTAGCGCGTTCAAACAAACAAACAAACAAACTCTTTAGCTTTACAATATTAGTATAGATTATCCGTTCGAAACAGTTCCTTTGAAAAGATTAATGAAGTTTCTAGTACTCTAGCGACTAGTTTAAATACAGACACGCCTTCGCCGGTGGTCAGTTTAGTTTGAGCTACAGTGCGATAAACATCGACACGATCTAAGCGAACAGAAGAGTAACCCAGCGAAACCCTCATTCCGGACTGTTATTAAGTAACGATTGGTTTTATAAGTGTCTCAATAATAAAGTCTCTTAAGTCATCAGAAGACGATTCAATCTAAATCAACGAACACATAACAATATTGTTAAATATATATGTTGTAGGTTGATATTGGGAAACTGTAGTAATGTTAAGTGGCATTTGAATCGTCTTTCATCACTGTGTGGAAATTACCTAAGTAAAAAGTAAGTAACTATCGACGTGACGCTAAACATATTATTTTATGGGGACGAACGAGGAAGACGAGTTATCTGATGGTAAGTGACTACCACCGCCCATAGACACCTGCTACTAACAGTCACAAGCGCGTTGCGTTGCACTTTGAGGAAGGGGTACGCTTTTTCTTGAAAGTCATATCGGTCAGGAAATACCGCAGGCGACAATTTTTTCCACAGATTGGTTGTGCATCGCAAAATGTTACTTAAAAAGTGCAGAGTAGTGGAGTGCCAGTTATCTAAGTAATGGGGATGGAAGTTTTGTTTTGAAACGATGGTGAAAAGCTGCGGCTGGTACTCGTATTAGTCCGAACAATTCTTCGGAGCACTCTCCATGATATATACGATCGAGAATGCAGAGTGAAGCTACATCTCTACGAAACGCCAAGGGGTCAAGCCGATCAGAGATATTTTGGCAATTGAGTCGCTCTCCGTTGGATAATTTACTTATCGACCTAGAAATGCCCATACAACTAGTTAGCAACTCGATCCATACTTACTGTGAATATTTTTGTAATAACATCCTCTGCCCATATCCTGACTTGCTGCTTGCATTAGTGAAACAAATCAACTTTATAAACAAGTTATTCACTACTAAATAGCATTACTTCAAAGAATCTACAATGTTACTATTGTGCTCGTATAAAGATCAAAACTAATAGTGTTGCCAGATGTGACAATAGAAAAAAGTTTTTTCTACTACCAACACTGGTAACAGACGGTTTTCACAGTTACTACAAGATGGCGTTTACTACTTACTACAAGATGGCGTGGTATAGTTCAGTAACCATCAACTAAGGGCAACGTTTGATTAATTTACATAATAATAATAACTTCAAACATCTCACACACGGCAGTCTGGCCCAAAAGAAGGCAGAGCCGGTATTATGATAACCAGACAGCTGATAAACATACTTATATATTTCTAAATACATACATTTAGATAAATTACACCCAGACATAGAACAAATGATCGCGCTCACTACACAATATTTGTTCCTGGTTGGGAATTGAACCCACGATCTCCGCTTTGCAGTCAGGGTCAATAACCACTAGACCAACAGGCTATCAAGCTGAAAAACGAAACTGACATGATAATCGTATTAACTTATAAGTGTCATTTACGTAACTTTAAAAAAAGAAGAGCGAGAGAGAGCTTTCGGACTTGTAAGGTATTTGCTCTGTAACATATCGTGCAAATGAGGCAATTTCTCAATAAATCATAAAACATTTAGAAAAATTTAAAGTACACATGTTTCTAAACACTCCTTTTCCCCACTTACCAGTAGTAAGAACGGTGGAGGTATGGGCGATCTCCTGGAAGACGGCATAATTGGGTAAGAGACACTGGGTGGTGATCTCGTCGGAGCCGCACCGGATGTCCGCCTCCTGGCACAGCAGGGCGAAGCAAGACATAGCCACCAGGACCACATCCGTGTCTATTGACCACAGGCACATGAAGAAAACCACCTGTAGACCACAATCGTCAAAAATTAGCCGACCGTCTTTTGAATACACATACGTTTTACTTTTTTTATGGTATAAGGTGGCAAAAGGGCAGACGGGTCACTTGAAAGTGTTATAGAGTAAAATCGTCGTCCAATACTCTAGGTTTGATTTCCGACTCGGACAAATATTTAAATAGAGTTATAGATATGATGATTAATTAGTTATATGGACGCTTTTAATTTACGAAAGAAGTATGTAACGAATGTGTTTCTTTTCTAATTCCGTTGAAAACAACTATAACACAAAGTTAATAAAATAGGTAGGTATTGAAAAAGATGGGTGATCTCACCTCCAGCTTGATGTGCGCCTGTTTACAGATGGGTACCTGGCTGCCCACGTTGGCGTACTCCTTGTGCTTGGCGAGGAACTCGTTGCGGCACGTGAGGATATCGCGGAGCCACCTCAGTACTTCACGGTAGTTGCAGATCTGGCGTTGGATCAACTTCTGGCTTATGTTGTATAACACCTGGGAGCTGGTGGTAGAAAATTGCTTGATTTAGTCTTTGGTATTAGTAGATTAACTTAAAAAAGAGTTGCCCTGAGTTCGTTTGACCTTTCTGCTCATAAGCCACACCATTAATAGAGTTTCGATAGGTATACTACATCTATTTTGCTAAATATTGACAAAACTGTTTTGAAATTATTTCAAACATTTTTTTATGAAATAAAGATATATTTTGACTTTCATCATCATCATCATCACCATCAACAGCCTTTAATAGGCCAATGCTGGACATAGGCCTCTCCTTGGAAAGGAGGTTCTGGCCTACTATACATCGCTGGCCAGGCTATAATAATAATAATAATAATACTTTATTTACGCAAAGATATACATATTCGAATACATAGTTGATAGGAATTTACAATTTTGTATTTGAGATGTGAAACTCTGTCCCTTAAACTAGGTGAGTTAACTGTATTTTAAGAGACAGTGGTTAGCCTTACAGGTTCTTCTTATATTAGTTCTGTTAGAGTTGTGTCTTTCGATAGATAATATGCAGTCGGATGTTTACGTGTGTATGTTCGTGTGTGTGTGTGTGTGGGCGTGCATGTGCGTGTGTGTATGTATGCGTGTGCGTGTGTGTAGGCGCAGAAGATCCTACAAATGTGCTAGAGTACATAATATAATTTAATGTGAGGCTATTTCCTATTTGAAGTACATTAGTAACGACTCCGTGCGGGAATAGTCTTGTTTCAGGAGCCATTCTGTAACTTTTTGCTTGACTGTATACCTATTTGAACCTAGTATTTTTAATTCTTTGTGTGTTTTTTTGTATATATGGGGCTAGGGTTGGTATAGGGTTTGTGTCAGGTTTACCTTCACTTTGTTGCTGTGCTGCTTAGTGTGCTCCCTTAGTTGGCTCTTACTACACCCACGGGCTGAATAGGGGTGGTGACACTTCGTATTCTTAATGCGTCACCACACAGATATAAATAAAGATGGTCTTAAAAATTCTACCTAATATCCCAAAAAGTGTTAAGAGGCGCTTCAGGGTTCCACATGTGGACTCTGTCAGGTCGGTGCAGGGCCAGCAGGGCGTCCATGGCAGCCTGCGAGATCTCGCCCATACCAGTCTGGTGAATCAGAGACACCAGGCCGTTGATCAGCTCGGTGGTCGACGATTGGATCTCTACGCTGGATCGACCTGGATTCTGAAGCAAATATCCGGATATGATTTTGACAAGATGATCGAGACAAGATTTTTTTAATAAAGGGGGTATTTTATTCTTGTAGGAAGGACCCGTGGCAGTTAGTGGTCATGGCTCATATCAAATAAAAAAAAATAAGATTCAACTTTGCGAAGAGCGAAGTGACGTCGTTTTTACAATCATGTGTGCGTGGTGCATATAATTTTATTTTATTGAAAATATTGGTTTCTAATTGTTCTTACTTAAGTGTAAAATGCGATTCCATCCGACTATCAATCTCCTGTAGTTTAATTTTGACTCTTCCACAACAGAATTTGACATTTTTATTTGTAAAAATGGTTCATTTTTGATGTCGTTTTGACTGACAAGGCGTAGATTCGTTGTACGTGTGTGCGTGTAATTCTGTACGTACACGACATGGCGTAGTTTTAATTGGCCTCACTTACTTATTCACAGAGTTAAGATGGTAATCTTAACTTTTGTATTTGATCTGAGGGTCATGGTTACAACTTTTAAAGAGTAGCAGCGAGGGGTCTGTTTAATAAGATTCTTGTCATCTATCCTTGAAAGTTTGGCAAGGTTATTGTACGGTGCAACGCCCGTACAAGCTGCTGCGTCATTAAATTCATATACAGCGCGGATTACACGCGTTATAATATTCAGTTCGCGATCTAGCGGGCTCCACCAAACGTGCTCCGCGGTCATTGTGTCTTTATTATAAATTTTATTCTATATTACTATCTTTTATTTGTTGACCTCATTGCAAGGCAAACAGTTATTATAACTACATAAAATGAGAAAGACCTGTTTACTTGACTTTGTTACAATTACTAATTACGAATTAATTAGTTACCTAGGCTACAATTATAGGTTCCAGAAATAAATGTGCATTACTTTTTTTGTGTCTTAGGTGTAATCTATCTTTTCATACACAATAAATACATTACTATAAAAAAATATAGAAATAGTGTCCCACAGATATTGGCTAAGGTAATTTACTGTTGGTTAGGGTTCAGGCAGAGAAACCAGAGGGCTTAGTGTGACTTTATTTCACATAAACTCGCTTTTGACGGTGAGTGCGGGACAATCGTAACGCGAACGCGGTAACCGTAACGGTCGATTAGAACTGAAATAAACTTACACTTAAATTACACTTACACTAAGTCATTAGACCTTTAATCCAGCTGCCTAACGTTTTAGTAGAAAATCTTAGCAATCTTAACGCTCTATTTTTTAAAATTATTGATATTAATTGAGAAGCAACTTACACTCAACATCAGCATAGGATCAGCGTGGATAAGCTTTACAATACACAGCAGTAGGTTCCTGTACGCTGGCATCTCCTCGCTCTTATTAAACTTGGACTGCACCTCCTTAGACTTGAGGGTAAGGGAGATCATTCTGAGAGGAGTGTGTACTACGTAACCCTGGAAAAGAGTATACAAAATTTAAGAAAGTAGCCAGAATGCAAATAAAATGCACCTGTGGCGAGAGCGAGAGTATTTCAGCGCCATCTAACAAATAGAAAACGAACCACTTAGTGATCGCTTGTTTATTGTTTATCCTGCATCGCGTAATTAAAATTCTCATGATCGTATGATCTGGTGGACCCTTTTTTAGTAGTAGTTAGTAGGTCCGGTACTTAAATAATTTAATAAAAATGTTATTAGTATTCTGATGTAAGTGGCACGTTTATTGTATTTTGGACAATAAATGATTTAAACCAAAAGAGATCTAACCTTCTTATGCTAATTAGCCTTTAAGAAAACTTTTATCTGTCACAGATTTTCAGCACAACACTGGCAGAACTTCCATTAACTGCCGCGATCAGAAATGCCGAAGCCCGAACAGTGTGGAGACAGTTGGTGGCTGAGGTGGAGGTGGAGGAGGACACTTGACAGCAATGAAGTATACGACGCAGAAAAGGATGGCTTTTATTCAGTTCAACAAACTGTCCATACCTGAGTGGCCTTATTCGAAGTATCCGTGAACATGGCTCTCAGTTCCGCCGCCCTGGGGTACAGCAGCTCTATCTGGGGCCACCACGGTAGGCGCGGTTGTTTGATTATTCTGAAACCGATATTTAACTGTTGATGTCAGGAGGAAGCGAAACTGGTCTTTTCAAGCTGCTGTAGTTTTAATCCTGGATGATTACAAAAGCCTCCTTGAACACTTATTTTCATAACTATTAAGATACTAAGTTCACTTTAATTATTATTGCATTTAATTTCAATAACTAACCAATTCGTTTTTATCGTATTTTTGTTCAGCGGTTGTAGCTACAGAATTTGTTTCTAATGTTCTGTGGTAAAATGAAAGCGTTGTATAACCAAACTGTGCCTTAAAAAAGTTGCTGGTACTTATAGCACAGGGTTTCCTTTTTAAGTATCAGCAGTGCATTATTTGAGATTACTGTAATATAAGAACCATACAATTATCTTTTTAAACTTTACTTGTGAACAATAAATATATTATTATTATTAATATTTAAACTGACCTCAGGCAGTAGACTGGCTACAAAAGAAACCAGTCCCATGACATCAAACCTACATAAAATGCACTATGGGCTTTATCTTAATTCTAGGGGTGGGTAGGGCACGAAAAGGGTTGTACCACAACTCAACAAATACAAGTTTGGTACTATCATACTTGTAGAAAGGCAAATTCTAGGTAAATAAATATAACTTAAAATCGGTGCTGTGCGACCTGAATTGCACATTATTGCAATAGCCCAGAGTCGATATTTATTAAAATGGTTTTGCATAGTGAGTCTTCTGTACTGTGTTCGTGGTAGTTACTTACCTAAGTAATGAATTGATGATCACACAATGATACGAAATATGCGTGTTCAGATTGAGACACACTTTGAGAGCGTCGTTATTGTGTGGCATTATCCTGAACAACGATACGAAGCAGTCGGTCATCAGGTCCAGTTCGGAATATCCGGAGATCAGGTTACCACGAATGTAAGACTTCGAGGGGTTGAAGAGGAGAGACTGAGGAAGACAAAAGTATTGGTCGATTTAAATCATTTTTTTAGAGATGCATTTTTTTTTCTCTATTTTTCAATTTGATTATAATATTTTTTATGTAAATGCTACTTAGTATTGTTGCCATTTATGAACTGATAAATTACTTTTTAACATATTTAAAAAAAAGGAAGGTTATTAATTCGACTGTATTTTTTTTATGTTAGTGACCTTACTACTAAATTAGGAATCAGTTTGTAAAATTCTTTTTTAATTTAGGAGGGTATACTGTCAGTTAAGGGAGTAAACTGGAAGTATACCAATACTTCTAGTTTACTCCCATTCAAATAAGAAGAACAACAAGTACAAGAAAAATACCACCTCTAAGGGTGGTAAATAAGAGGCGCTTTGAAACTTCTTTTAAAGTTAATTTTTCAATTGCAATTTATAATATATCCAATTTTACCTTAAGGTCGTTTATAACAGATTTAACTAAGATAAAAGTGACGTTGCCGGAGTCTGCTATGTTGAGGTACGTGGAAGCCTTGCACAGCTTCACACAGGTTACCACAGCGGCTTCTGTCATTTGCTTGGAGTTGTTCTGAGGACCTGGAGACACAAACATTATTTGATCATTATAAACTATTATTATAAATGCTAATTTGAATGTGTTTGTTTGTTACGATTTCACGCCTTAACGCATATATGCTTTTCTGATCATTTTAAAACTCTTATATGTATTGCCAGAGTTACCTACAAAGAAAGACGAAGGGTTCCTTCCCGAAAAAATACTGTTCTTGAAGAATCTGATTTTTTATAGTATAAATAAGCGAGAAGACGGGTAACCTAATGTTAACACCCCCCAGAAACAGAGAGGGGGAGGGGTAGTGTAAAGAACGGCTTAACACCGGTTTTCTGTGAGGCCGTGGTATCACTCTGGTCGAGCTGACCCATTTGCATTTGCAAATGGAATTTGAGCAAAACCTCAAGCGTAATATTATAACGACGAATATGAGTTTGTTCCAAATGGTAACTTACTAAGGCCCCTCTTCACAGAATCTATAAAATGTTTCTTCTTGCTGTGTCTGGGACTACAAGGAGCACCGCTGTCTGCATTCACTATTTCTTCTAGAACTTTCTGTAAATATTTACATTTATTAAAAGAGATCAGTTTATTGGTACACTATTAGTACATTTGTTTTTTTTTATTCTACCACATTTACACAACGCCATCTAGTCCCAAACTAAGCAGAGCTTGTACTATGGGTACTAGACAACTGATATAAATACTTACATACTTTTTTTTGTAAATACATACATATTATACATAGAAACACCCAAACCAAATCATACATTACATGTTCATGCACACAAATGTTTGACTTGATTGAACCCGCGACTATTGGAATAGCAGTCCGTTACACAAACCACTACGCCATCCGGTCGTCAAAGCAATTCTAGTAGGCTTTGAAATAATACTACATTTTTTGTATATTTTTGTAGGATGGATGAAACAAAATGAGACAGCAATAGTTAGTCTTGTGTAAAGTTTTATATCGCCATCATCATCATCTCAGCCGAGAGACATCTATATCTGAAGACAGGCCTCAACCAAGGTTCGTAACAACATTCGGTCCTGTGCTCCCACGTCCAACGACTTTAAGCGACCTTCACCAGGTCGTAGGACCACCTTGTGGTTGGCCTACCCACTATTCAGGTCTGTCAGGGACCTCCCAGCAAAGGCCTATTGCTTCTATTTACTTCATTTTTTCCTGTGATAGGGGGCAGCCGAGTAGACAAGTTGCCGGCCTTTTAAGAAGGAGTACGCTCTTTACTTAAAGTTTTGAATTTGGTATCGGTCCAGAAATACCTCAAACGCTAACTTGTTCCACAGATTATTTGTGGGACACAAAAAGTGTTTTGAAAAACGCACAGTGGTAGAGCGACAATCATCCCGGTAATGGGTTCTCTTACCCACTCATTCTTCTTACGGTCTCTGTGTGTGACTAATGACTGTGTGACTGATTTGTATACTTACAGGGTTGAGAATTAACAACATGATCTGTAGCGGCCACATCGCCACTCGCGACTTCTTGTTGTCGGAGAAGCTGTCCTGCAATATGTCGAAAAGAGTGTCGCAACACTTGCTCAACTCATCGTTAGGCCGACACTGGACTTCTGCAAACTCCTGAAAACCATTATAGCCGTGTTATTTTTAAATCTCTGGGGACAAAGCTAATTACAGTAAGATACGCATACAGATATATAACTGTAATATAACTAATGACGCCAACCTAACATCTTGAATTGCTAATATTAATTGAGTAGTTTCTACTTCAACTTTTATTCAAAATCAACTATCTGGCTCGAAGGACCATAGATTTATGTTAGGCTCTCAGTTAAAAAAAAACACAAATAATGCAAGTATATTGCGTAAGCTTACTGGTCAAATCAAATAGCGCGAGCTCCATCTGCCTCCTCTTACAGACTCCCGTCCCTTTTCTCGAAATCTCACAAATTGCAGGCAAGTGAGATGAAAGATGTTACACATCAAAAACTTCATGGTGCTAAATATAAAAACTGCTTGCCCTGACTGACAGATTCATCAACGCAGAGCCTAAACCATTGGGGCTACAAACTTCAAATTTAGGCAGCCGATGCTTACTATGTTGTAAGCACCGCAAGCAACTAAGAATTGATTTTTGGAAATTTCAAACCTAAGACTGTAAAACGACACGTTAGAAACACAAAATAAGATAATCAATCGAGAGAAGCCGCGGGCAATAGCTAGTTATAAAAACTCATACCTGTGGATACGTATCCATCCAATTCCAAATAGCTTTCTCTAGGGATGATACTAAAACTAAATGTGCCGATTTTCGTAACAACCTAAACTTTTGTATTGATTCTGTAACAAAATATACATTTAAATTTCGAAGCGATTGTAAAGGAGAAGTAAATTAAAAAGCAAAAAATGCAGAAACGAGACAACATATCGTCATACAGGATACAGGATGTTACAGTAAGGCGTGATTATATTGTAGGGTCATCATATTCGATTAGTAGTGGACGGCAATAGGCTGAAGAAGTGTATACAGATTTTAAATTGAAACTGACAAATCAAACTTGAGAATTGACTAATAAACTAATATTTTGTCAAGGAAATAGAACTGATAATAATAAATGGGTATGGCTATGGGTATTTAACAAAACGGTTCTTATGAGATTTTTATTTACTTATTTTTATTTACTTGCAAAACTATTTATGATTTCACTTCAATTTGGATGTCAAAACTATTACTCACTTATAAATAACGCTCATTAAGAACACCCTGCATAATTTTATTTCTATGAGGTCTTTTTTATTAACAACCTGTATTTACATATATTTACAACAAAATAATATTTAAAGATAATAAAAAATAAAAGTTACCAGTTAAAAGCCGTATAAGCCTTAATATATCAACGTTGATGTATTGTATCAATTCTATATCTGTATAGTCGGGGTTTTCTTCTGAGCTAGACGATAGTTCCTGAAACAACTACAGTTATGTTCGTAATAGATCTTGCAAAAGAGGACCACACAAACAGAACATTGGAACAAATTTGGTTAATTTTAACAAAAAAAGTATTTCGTAATAGTTCCAATTTGCTAACCAATCATTCATTGTATCTAAACAGCCAAAGAATTGCTATGCTATGTGTGTAACAATGTATTATTATAATAGGATACTAAGTGACGTCAGCCGCCATCGAGGGCAGTGGAACTAAAGAACTTATAAATGTTAGAGGAAGCGAACAAAGCGCTATCGCATCTCTCTCTGCTCCTATCACTGATTGCCTATTTTAAATGCCATCATCATCATCCATTCAGTGCAAAGAGCAAAGAAAGATGAAAGACCAAAACAGTCTTCTTTCTCTGTACCTGACCGTACGCTACCACTTTCAGAGAAATAAACATTTCGCTTCCTCTATTTATATTATCTCTATGAGTGGAACACATTAATGGTTTACTGCGAGAAAATCCAGATGCCGGTATATTTTTTGACAGTATAAGCCAAATGGCAAGGAATGTTACACTATTTCTGAAGACATTATTACAAAGAAGAAGATTGTTAGCATAACATATAAGCGGTTTGGTGGTGGGTCAGAGTAAGCTTGACTATTTTCTTTAAAAAACAATAAAGCTGTGTACCTGAAGCCTTGCGCTGATCCTGTTGAACACCGCGTTGAAGAAGTTGAGGCTCAAAGCGAACAATACCTTACTGGCCAACTGTCGAAGTAGCATATTGTTCACTGTGTTCTCATTGCGCATATCTGTTGGACAAGGCAGGATATGACGTCATAAAGCTTTAGGGTTTTTTTATTTACTTATCTTCTAAGCTGCAGGTCAAATTCGAAAAATAATTTTGTATTCGATAGAGTATTAATTGAAGAATGTTGTAGACTATGCAATATTAGAACTACAATACAAAACAAGGGTGAAACTGCGGACAAAGGTTAGTGAAAGATTAAACGTAATACAACATATTTAAAAAGAACGCGAACGCGTATAGGGCTGATGAATGTGGAAGAGATTAGTTCTAGAATTTCCAAGAGTAGAGTGAAGAGGTTTCTCTTGGATGCGTGCAGTGTCTCAACTTCGTCTTTATCGTCACTTTCAATCAGGTTTTATCGTCTCTGCCTGCCAGAGACAGGAACAGGGTGTAAGCTAAAGATATAAGGCAAAAGACAACAAGATAGAATGTGGAGCGGTGACCACAGACTGCAAAAAGCAATGTGGACGGTAAAAAACACAAAGACCAATAAAATTTAGGTTTAAAAAAAGTGGAAGAGAATTATATATTCTTGAAAACGTTAATATTATATGCGTTTTCGGCATTCGATAACTATAATATCGCCAATGATTAACACATTGCTCGATAGATGGCATTATATTTGTCGTGTAAATCACGATTTAGAAATTGCTTCAGCAACATAACTTTTTTAGACTGTTCCAATCTGGTCTGGTATCTTCAGATTTGGTTATGGATCAGTATTAAACTTACCAATAAACTGGCACACTTCTCTCAGCAGAATTTTCACGTTCATAGCCTCGTCATACTTCGCCGTGTCTTTGGGCTGGGAGCTGAGACATATTTCCAACGTATCCAGTACGATGACCAGACTGTCATGGTAGCCTTTCTCCTGATCGGTTTGTGGACGGTTTAGGCCTATCGGCACTGTGGGCTGGTACTGGAACAGGGAAGCATAGCTAAGTATATTTGGCAACAAAGATGGCATTACAATGACTGCTTCGGCACAGCTCACAAAAACCCACCGGGTGTTACGCAAGTTTAGGTAACGTACACTTCGAAGGTAGGTTAAGAAAGGTATCCTAAAAAAATAATTGTTGATCACCTACTAACAACATTATACTTGTTAAAGTACTACTGTTACCAGTTCGTTGAGCTTCTGTAGAATCTTGGTGAGGCCGGCGATGACTAGAGAGAACCGGTGTCGGCTGATCTGGACAAGGCATGCTTTGCACTGTTCTTCATTAATGCGGGAATGAAGATTCTGGGCTCCCGTCTTGTAGGGAAGCTAAAACAATATAAAGTTTGTTTATTTTTTGATTTAATATAAACGTATCAGCAGAAACATTGAATTTCGACCGTTTTAATTTTAAATTCTATCAAATTGGAAAGAGAGGAACAGAAAATGTTGGACTGCGTTTGCCTTTGTATCATCCTGTGGTCGATATTGGTGCTAATTCTGTTGTTCGAAAACTCTCTAAACTAAACTAAAAATCACTAAAAAGTTTTTTAGTCCTGTCAAATAACCTTTCTGATTCTGAAAACGTAGTACTTGTCAGTTCTAAACTAAATTTTAGTGATTTTTAGTTTAGTTTAGAGAGTTTTCGAACAACAGACTTAGCACCAATGTTTTTTTTTATGTTAGAGGGGGCAGACGAGCAGACGGGTCACCTGATGGAAAGTGACTATAGCCGCCCATGAACGTCTGCAACTCAGGAGTCATAAACGCGTTGCCGGCCATTTAGGAAGGAGTACGCTCTTTTCATGAAGGTCGTATCGGTCCGGAAATACTGCAGACGATAACCCGTTCCACAGATTGGTTGTGCGGGGCAAAAAGTGTCTCGAAAAGCGCTCAGTAGTGGAGCGCCAACTATCCAGGTAATGAGGATGAAAATTTTGCCGTGTGGAACGATGGCGGAAATTAAAACAAAATTGTTTTGACAGAATTGAGTAATATCAGTATGAAGTGCAAGAGCGTCGCCATAGTGTGGCACAGTTTGACACTTGCCCCACACTGAATATTTTAATATGTAACCAAACATTAGAAGATTTTCAAAACTATCGAAATAAAATACGTATAATTATTATTCTCTTTATTACATTAAATTTACATATAAATTTCCTTTTTAAATTTATTTGTGTACAAAAAAAAAAGATTTAAAAAAATTGTGTCTCATCGTTATCGGGTACAGGGACCAAGATATCGGCGGTTAGGACTCCAGAGGCAGTAGGACTCCAGAGGCAGAAACCTCCTCACAATACATGTCGTATCGAGAAAAACTGCTGTCTGCATCAGGCCCTTAATCCACCTGCCTAATGCGAGCCTCTGAAAATGTTTCTTTATTATTTTTTTTTGCCAAATCAACATTATTATTATTGTTTACAAAAAAAATGATTACAGTGACTAATACAATAATAGCAACTAAAAACTAACAAGGTTTATACCTGTGCTATCTTGAGTCTAAGATTTACCTATGTACAAATCAAAACTATAAGAATAACAAATAGAAAAGCTAACAATACGAGTATAACAACAACACAAAAGACAAAATAATCTTACACTTACTTATTTCACTTAACATAAATACAACAACAACATTTGTGAAACATCTATTTTGTGAACTATCATGATATTTTATTTCAAAATTGATTTTTTATTTTAAATTTAAATTGATTTTTATTTTTGACGAGATTAGGGTTTTAGAATTTTAACTTGTAGTTTACAAATATTCTCTAGATATGTTTTATAAGTACGTCCGTACCTACTAATATACGTCATACTGTATAAGAGTTTCGGCCAGTGCGTAATACAGCATTAGCTTCACCTTGTACGGGATGCGATTCTTTAGTATCGTGATATTCGCAATGAATTGTCTCAGTTTATCGCATACTGTGATGGCTGTGGAAGTGTCATCCGCAAAACGGATAGCATGAACTCTAGGTGATGCAGTTGCTCATGTCATTAACATAAGTCAAGAAATGTAGGGGACCTATTACGGAGCCTTGAGCTATTCCCTCGGTTACAGACGCAAGTCCACAGCATACATTAGCCATTTTGACAGTGAAGGCCCGATTTTTTTATATGATTTGCACACCACGGTAACGGGCCTCGTACTCTGCAGTCATTCAATCTATCGATAGCTGATCATGCACCAATGTATCAAAGGCACGTGAGAAATCAATGAAAAGAGCAAGGACTCTATTTCTAATTTTAATATATTCTAATTCGAGTTTTGGGTGCTTTAAGTTTTTTTTTCAATCTGAGAATAATTTATCTCTTTTATCACAAAGCCGGGTAATATTCTCATCAATCCATCGCAAACTAAGGTGTTTTGAGTGCTTGCTATGCAGTTTGAGCCTCTTACTATTAAGTGCAGACCTATTTGTATTATCAAAAAAGTTATAGATGAAACTTAATATGTCATTAGGAAGGTTCATACTCTTTGTCTTTATCCTTTCAACACTTTTAAGTTTTAAATAAAAAGTGTTTTAGTCAAAGGTATCTTATGTGTAGATTATTGAATTACTTGGTTGTTCTGTTTTGCTCAATTGGATTTAATTCATTCTAATAACTATAAGTAAAAAGTTTATAATTGGCTTACAGATGTTTTTTTTTATGGTATAAGGGGGCAAACAAGCAGAAAGGCCACTGTCACAGACAGGTAAGCAACTACCGCCGCCCATAGACACCTGCAACTCAAAGGTGGGTTGCAATCCTTGGAGTTCCTCCCGCTTCAGTCAGCGGGCGGGGGGATTTGGGCTCCGGTAACCTCACTCACTCAGTGAGAGGCAATGAAAGAATTGCTTAACATGGGTCTTCTGTGAGACCGTGGTGTCACTCCGGTTGAGCCGGCTTATTCGTATCGAAACATGGCTCTCCCATGGTATACATCAATGTATATCACTATTTATTTAGCTGTAAGTTTTCCATATATAAAAATAAATAAATAAAAATTTTACCGTCAGACTAAACTTAAAGTAAATCAATTACTTTTAAAGGTTAATAAGAATTAAATAGCAAAAACTATTTTACTTTGTTGAGATAGATAGCTATCCTAAAACTAATGACAGATTTTTTTTTAAAATTTAAGAAAAATTAAAAACCAAAACAATTTCATAGTCACGAATGCTTTAAAAACCTTTATCCACATTCAATAAACCAAAAAAGTATTGTAATACTTTATTCTTGAATATATTATTAATACATCAGTTTGATTAATTTTATCGTAAATATTTTAAGTCTCAACTAGACAGAAGGGAAAACATTGGTTTAAAAAAAATACATTTATTTAAACAATACAAGATAATCATATAATATTTCAATCATATTTTCTTATTGGAAAACAATACGTTTCACAACGTTCTACCTTATCCTATGAAACCCTAAAACAGCCATGTACAGCCGACTGGATCGATAACTCCGGCCGGTTGTTAATTAGCTTTTTTTAAAAAAATGGTTCGACCGCCCACGCAAAAAGACTTACGAAAGAAAGTTATAAAATATTTCAAAGTAAAATATCCTAAGTTTTGCCTCTTTTTACATAAGAAAATAACAATACAATCATCATAAAATGTTTTTGTTTACATTGAACAGAAAAGCTCCATATATGGGTGGGTCTTAGAAATTAAATTAAATATATTTTTTGACACTCACCTGCTCCTCGAAACGGGAAATAAGTGAATTAGCCCATTCACTCGGTTTCTGCGTCCCCATTTTTTTGATAAATAAAATATTGTTTCTGTAAATAAATTAAAAACAACAAGTTATTTTTGCGACACCATTTCCGCTGTTCGTCTTTTTCAAGCTACTAATGAATGACACCGTCAATATTTTAATTCTACTATTTATGTATTTTCATCCCAAAGTAACATTCAAAATTCTCTTTTTTGTATCAAAAATTAGGCAATTCTATTGCTTACATTTTTAATACAAGATCCAATTTCATTTAATTAGTTTTATTGGCCTGTTTCTCATTGTAATCAATTTCAAATTTTCTACTAAAAGCTAAACGTAGTGTTGATTGTGGACAGGCAACACAAAACTGTCAAAACCAAAATCAATAGAAAAGTGACATTCCGTTTCGTAGTTAAGCATCTGATAAATAAAACAAGACAATTAATGAAAGAAAAACATCATTTTTAAAAACTCTAATTTAGGCGATGACATTTTACAGATTTGATTGCATATCTGTAAAAAAATAATAATAGAAAGAGTTCTGAAGGCCAATTCTTTTACGGTTACTCCAAAGCTATGTTGGCACTAGAAATACAACAATTTTTTCTCAAATAGCAATATGAATTTGTTATAAATATGTTTATACACATCATCATCATCACTATCATCATTAACTGCCTTTAAAAGTCCACTGCTGGACATTGGCCTCCCTATAAAAAGCCAGAGTAAAAAGAAGTAGCCAGAGTCGAAGACAGATCTCATCATCAACAGCCTATACTAGTCCACTGCTGGACATAGGCCTCTACTTAGAAAGGAGGTTTTCGCCTACTATACCGCGCTGGCCAGACGGGTTGGTATAGGGTTTGTGTCAAGTTTTCCTTCTCTTTGCATTGCTGTTGTCCTGCGTAGTTTGCTCCCTAGTCGGCTCTTACGACACTCACGGGATGAATCGGGGTGGTGACACTCTGTATTCTTAATCCGTCACCCCATGACAATACACAATACACAATTCGTGAGAAAAAAAATGTATCTAGTTAACGGGTGGCTTCGAGTGATCCACAGCAAACTCTTACTGCGAGGAAGTGGTCACGACCCTCAGCATTGAGGCAACCGAAGCGAGGAGGAGGGAGTGAACAATATTTTCATATTAGTTTTGATTTTAATAATTACTTAGCTTATATGTATTATACTATTAAGATAAATGCTTGGATACTTTTTGGAAATTTTTGGTCTCCAGATATATTTTTAATATTTGTGGTTCATTTAAAAAACAGTTTAAATTGTTTTCTGTCATTCTACTATTTTAAATATCTCAATACGGTTGGTCGGAATTATGTGACTTACTTGTTCTTTTAGTCTTCACGAGAAAATAATCATCATTAATGACTAAATGCAGCATGTTACATAGTTATTTTTAAACTTTAATTTATATTTATTTTTTGATAGTTTTTAATAAATCGATGCAATTGATATTTTCTATCTCTCCTTATGTAATTCCATTACACGTTGTTTGTCAATTTGTCAGATAACTTTTGACAACCCTACTATTGTGATTGTCAAAAAAAAAGGAAAATATCGTCAGTCACTTCGATTGTTGATTAAACCAGGAAAGTTATTAATTATTATCAGCGTATTGTATTTAACTTGTTGCCAAACGCTTTTATATCAAGATGATGGTGAGTATTTTCCAACGTTGTTATGTTACAGCTATAATTTCTATTTCTTAAAGTTTTTTCGCCGGGGGGCGTCTCCAACTAAATATTTTCATCTAATATCTGTTAATTCACCGGATATCTCTCGTTAATGACTCATGTAGCTATTGTTATAAACAATTTAGTTCTTTTATTAGTAATAATTACACTCATTAACGGCGTTGTTTTGTTAATTAATTTAGTGACGTGGATAAGTATTTTTTTTTATTTTTAAACTACCGTTAGCGTTGGGAAGTCGCATGTTAATCGATAAAGTTCCACATTACCAATGATTGAAAACAAGAAAAACATGATTATTCCTCTATGTCAGAATTTAGTTAGACTCTAATTGGAGTGTTGTACTAAAATGATTTAATTCACAAACTGTATCTTTCAAGAAGTGAATCTTTCTAGAAACACCTTTAATCTTTTCAATTTGATGGACTAGAAATCTTATTCCATTATAACTCCAAAAAAAATCTTTCGTAATATTACTACACATTTACTTTGATAGGGATTTTTGGAATAGTTATTATTCTTCCTGGGAGAGCCAGGCTCGACTGCAGTAAACTACAACTAAAGGTTGTCTGTAACAGACCGCTGTGAGTGATAAGACCGCCTATTGTTATACTGAAATGGATATAATATCTGGACAAGTAATACTGCAATAGTGTATAATAAAGTGATACATAAATATAAGTAAATAAATAAAAATGTATTAAGCAGTGTTTTCATTGCGGGGGAGCAACCCTAACCATCGCCTTGATTCTCAATGGAGGGCCTGAAAAGCAATGAACTTGTGATTCTTGATTTGTAAGTATACAGCAGCCCGCTGTAGTCAGTTAGCATCAGGTGGTATACTTGTTTGTCTCCTATAACAAAAAATATTATTAATTTGACCACTTGATTGAATTGAATAATTCAGTGTGTTTTTTTTATCCCTCATCAACATAGTACATTTATTTGAAGTAAGAATAAGTTTTTTGTTTTTATAAGTTGATCTTGGTCAGCAACAAATAGGAAGAATGGTAGAAAAGTAATCTTTTTTTATCTATGTTACATATTATAAGATAATAGGTATCTTATCTTGTTAAATAATTAATGAGTAACAACTGTTTCCAGGATTGTGTGGAAGATACTAATCATGATCCCCTGTCGACCCACTCGACAGCACCTCAAACCCCCCAGGGGTCTGCTGATCCTAAATTGGAGAGGAAGAAGCCTAATGAGAATGTCTCGTTAGCTGATAACAGCTTACTGGTATGTAGTTAATAAAATAAAATAAATTAACACACACACACACACAGACACAGGCACACGCACACGCGCACACACACACACACACACACACACACACACACACACACACACACACACACACACACACTTTATTGTAATTAATGGAACGACGCTGTCATTTCCTTCCTGGAGATGGATGTTCATAGCCATGTCACATTTTTTACATATGTGACTGTTATGGAACACCTATTAATTAGTAATAACCATAAATATTTATAGGTGGATATATCAGATGCCCTCAGTGAGAAAGAGAAGGTCAAGTTCACTGTCCACACAAAGACTACACTGCCCGAGTTCCAGAAGTCAGAGTTCATAGTTGTACGTCAACATGAAGAATTTGTTTGGCTGCACGACCGATACGAGGAAAATGAAGAATATGCTGGATATATTGTGAGTTTGCATTATAAAAAAGTACTATATAAAAAATTATTCTGAAAAAAAAATTGTGCCCATATTAATTTTATTTGGTTCCAGTAAGATCACTCACTTATTAAAATCAACAAATGAATTGATTATTTATTCTTAATTCATTTATTCCAAACAAGATCTGCACAGGCATATTTGTTTTTTGTGAAAGTTTAATTTTTATTAAATTTATTTGTTTACTATTTGACAAAACAGAGATTGTTGCTGTTGGTGCTATTTCTGTTGTTCGAAAACGCTCTAAACTAAACTAGAAATCACTAAAAATTTGTTTGATCTAAGACTAAAGTCTACATAAAAGATGTTTTAAAACCATTTTAAAAATTTGATAAAATAAAGAGAGTTTGAATTGTATTACAAATTGTCTATGGATTCTTTGTGTCCATTTCATGAATTTTTAAATTTCCCCAGGGACTGAAATATCCCTAGTGCGGGAGTTGTCTTATAATAAATCCTGAAGATACTTCTTCTGGAAAAATTATACAAGGTGTAAGGGACATCGTACCGAATACTGAAATAGTGTTTTCAGATCATGATTGTGAGTCGTGCCGGAAAATTCATGAATTTATTTTTATTTTCCATTTTTCTGCTTAAAAATGATGAGAAATTATATCACAATGAGTAGACAGAACATTTTACAATTTAATACCAAAAAACTGCTATGTAATTAATCAAACAGACGAAGCGTGCGGGGCCTCCTCTGTTTGCACGGAATACACATGTAGTTATTACTTTTTTGCAATACCTACGGGGAATGACCGTAACCTTTGACAGCTGATTGTATAAAAAGTTTAATTTTCCGGCAGAAAATTCCAATGATTTTCGACTCAGAATGATGATCTGAATACACTATTTTAGTATTCGTTACGACGTCCCTTACACCGTGTATAGTTGACCAGATTAATGTAACAAGGCCTTCCTCAACAAAATAACTTCATTAGTCTTCATTATTTTAATGGTGTTTGCTTCGTCTATCAGATTCCACCTGCACCTCCGCGACCAGACTTTGACGCGTCGCGAGAGAAACTGCAGCGTCTCGGAGAAGGAGAAGGCGCACTCACCCGAGAAGAGTTTCTTAAAATGAAAGAAGAACTTGAGGAGTAAGTGGAAACTAGTCTAAATAATCTGGTAAAATGAAAGAAAGAGTATCTCTCATATTTGTGAATTCTAAGGTTTCTTTTTTTCAGAATATATTCTTGTTTTAATAACGAATGTTACGGAATCAATAAACGCTATTATACAGCAATTGTTCTCACAGTTTAAAGAAATTCCTGTACAATACTGCACATAGAATAGAAAGTGCAAAACATTTTATTTCTGGTCTATGTTGATGGGATTGTGGGAGAGCCATGTTTCAGCACTGATGAGTCAGCTCTCACACAGTATAACACTCATTCACTTAAATCGGTGCTAAGCAATTCTTATCTTACTTTTCACCGAGTCAGTAATGTTACTGGAGCCGAATCCTACCCTGGTTCTGGGAGGGGAGGGCTCAAAAAGCGGCGAATCACTTGTGGCTCTTGAGCTGATGGTTTACATCCACATATCATCAGGTGACCTTGGTCTGCTCCTTTGCTCCCCTTTGCCATAAAAACTAAAACCACTAAACATGTTGTACCTGGAAGAACTACACTAAAACTGCACTGAACGCGTAGTGGTTTAAGCGGTCACCTCAGTGTTTCTTACTGTGCTGCTCGTGCTTTTTTTTTAGATTATTATTTATTACAGTGAATACTTGGCTACCTTCAAGAAGACCGTGGCAATGCATGAAGTATTCCTACAACGTTTGGCTGCACACCCAGTGTTTAGGAACGATGCCCATCTACGCGTGTTTCTAGAGTATGAGCAAGATCTGTGCGCCAAGCCAAGAGGCAAAATGGACCTTATTGGGGGACTCGTAAGTTTAATATTGCATGAAACTGACTATCATTGTAGACTAAAGACTAAACTTTCAATGTAATCTCCTTAGTTTGGATCAGAACACACATATTATTAACAGTTCGACTCCACGGACTGCACGGATGGCGCTTATTACTATAACACTTTGTGTGATCCACAAATTGTTGTTCTGAGTCTGGTTGTTCTGTGTCCGTTTCATGTATGTTTGTAAAGTCACAGGATATTTTTGTAATGTGTTGTCTTTAAAAAAAAAGTTGTAACTTTCTCAAGTTGTTGATTCGTTCTCTGCTTCACCCAATGGTTGACCTGCAGAGAATGCTCTAGGCATTAAGTTGGTTGGCATAAGGTTGTGCGTTAAATTACTATTTGGATCAAATTCAAAATTTGATGCCTTTCATTAGATATAATGTATTTACATATGTATATCGGGTAACTCCGACGTTTCGAGTCCAACGTAGACCCGTTATCAATGGGTGCGACTGAAATTGTTTCAATATCTTTTTATTGAAGTCCTCAATTCCTTTATTCTTCTCAGATGCGTTCTATGACAACCACAACAGACGAGATATACCTGGGCGCGACCGTCCGCGACGTGAACGACTTCTTCGAGCAGGAGACGACCTTCCTGCAAGAGTATTACTCTCATCTGAAGGAAGCTGTCGCCAAGGTGGACAGAATGACCTCCAAACATAAAGGTACTTCGCTCTTTTTTTATTCTTCTTGAATTATATACCTACTGTTCAGTATATCGCTGTATTTCTGAAGTCACCCTACTCACCAGTAAGCTAGTTTTTTGGTTTTGCGATCAAGTGGTTGTGTGTTCAAATCTCACAAAATACAGTACAGAATCCTATGGTTTTGGTTTTGATTATAGTGTTGTTGGGTTATATGGTTAAAAACAGTTTTCTACAGATTGATGGTACCCCTCCAGGTTTTCTAATTCGAGCAGACATTGCTATGCTCTGCTTTTTGTGATTAACAAAATCCTGCGTTATGTTAATGTTTTTTTCTCATAGGAGATGTTGTACCGAGAACTGATGCCCTCAGAATAAATGTTATAATACTTCACATGTGCATCACTGCATTATGGAACTTAATACCTATACACAAATTGCAAATTGCATTAATTATAGAGGTAGCCGATGCCCACATCAAATTGTCATCGTGCATAACTCAGCTGGCTACTAGGGAGCAGCCATCAACTGAGAGGTTCCTCACCCGAGCTGCAGAGACTTTTGACAAATGTCGGGTAAGGAAGCATATGATGCTTTTTTAATGTTTTTTTAAAAGCTAGACCTATGTCTAGCTTTTCACTGAGTGAGTGAAATGGCCTTTGTTGAACAGTGGATATCCTATGGCTGAAAGAATATCTTTATAAAAGTTTGCGTTGCAGCCAATCTGGTTACCGTAGTACATACTCCGCCTACTTTGAAATCAGACAGCCATTTTTTTTTGTTGTTTAGAAAATCGAGGGTCGCATGGCTTCAGACCAAGACCTGAAACTGGCAGACACTCTTCGTTACTACATGAGAGATGCTCACGCAGCTAAAGCCGTGTTGGTGAGGAGACTCAGGTAAGATATCTTATAACTTTTTTACGCAACGCAACGCAACTTTACATCCAGGCCAACGCTCGAGCAGCTCGGAGACCGTTTTGCGCTCTGCAGCACCTGGTGCATCTTCTGCGAAACAAGAGTACCTACTAGCCTCTATCTTTTTACCCAAGAACACCGCCTCATAAAATATGGTGGCGGAAATTTTCTCATTTTTTTTTAAAGTATGTTAAAACACACTTCCTTTTGTTTTTTATCATAAATATGTATTGTGACATCATCAATGATCAATACTTTCAGGTGTTTAGCAGCGTATGAGGCTGCCAACAGGAATTTGGAGAAGGCCAGAGCTAAAAACAAAGATGTACATGCTGTGAGTATTATCTCTATTTTAATATTTTTTAAAACTTGATTTCCTTATACAGGCTGTTGCAAAAAAGTGTACTCATATTTTAAGACCGTTTAGATAACCTCGTAAATAACTTAAAGCGCTCTAACAATAAAGGAAAATTAGTTTTGGAAAGTCACAAATTGAATTTCAAAATTGACTAATAATACTAATATTTTGTATAAAAAAATCGTTCACATGAGTGAAACTATAGGTACATCATTGAAATGAATCTGAAAATTCATGAAATCTTATTTAGAAATGGGAACCTATACTAGGAAAAGCATTTAAATTTACTTTAAAAAATAATACATACAGTGGAACATAGAACCTCCTCCTTTTTTGAAGTCGGTTAATAAAATCAACTACATGTCGGCTACACATAACTCTTCTAATATGATAACATATTTCTGTAACATTCAAACCTATAGTCCATTCGTCTTAAGAAAATGTAACAAATCCATTAAGCCCCGCCCCCGGACCTATCAGGTTCCAAGACACTATCGTTTCGTACGAAAGCTTGAAACTTGGTTGGGCGTCACTATTTTCTTAACGCGAATGGCCTACACATATAAACACATATATTTATTCATGAATTTCTTTTTATTCACTTACGCCCGGAGTGTATAATATATTCCATTTCTGCACAAATACCTAACTTTCCATTAATTTTCACTTCTAAAAGTGTACAAATATAAAACATGCGTTTTAAATATTTTGCATTCTTCACACCGCAAAAGCACTGCAGAACTGGTTGATTATTCTGTATGATATCGCATTACCGTGGGAGAACCAAGCCTACGCATATGGGTAGGCTCTACCGGAATTATAACACGGCCTTAGAGAAGACCGTTGTCAAGCAGTTCTTTCGTTGCTTTGCACCGAGTAAGTGAGGCCTCCAGTCCAATACCCCTCCTTCCCTAATACTGAGGGGAGGGGGAACAAAGACTTGCCCCTATTTCAAAAAAAAAAAGACAAGTACTCTTGAGTTGCAGATGTCTTTTTTTTTTTATAAAATACGGGCCGAACGGATGATGGAAAGTGATTACCGCCGCCCATGAACGCCTGCAACTCAGGAGTCACAAGCGCGTTGCCGGCCTTTGAAATGGCCTAAGGTGTACATGGATGGTGGTAGTTACTTAGCATCAGGTAACCGGTGTGCTTGTTTGCCCTCCTGTACCTTAAAAAAAGTTTTTGGTTTTTTAACTCACAATGGTTTACTATTTACACACCAAACAGTCTGTTTCTCTCTATAACTCTCTAATATGCTGGCTACACTTCGTGTTTGTTTGTATGTCTATCACTACAAAGTTTGTTTATTGTTTCTGTGCTCTCAGCCGCTGGAAGTGCAAGAGGTAACCACGCTTTTCATTACATTTCTCGATATTTCGCACTATATTGTGATAAATAAATAAACCGTGTTGTGCAGAAATTCAATAGAAAAGCCAAATAAATAATGCTAATTAAATTATCTGTATTAGTATTGCAAAATAGGTTATGATGAAATAATAACTTTGAAACTGTACTTTTCATTCTTTAATTTTCCCAGGGGGTGATATTTTTCGTCAAATTTCAATAGGACCAAACAGGAAAAATAGTTTACTTAACAAAAAAAGAATTTTCCAAATCGGTTCATAAATTACGAAGTTCTGAATAAGAAACATAAAAAGTCGACTGCAAGAATGACGTACTGGTTTAAGTCGTCACTTCGCTGCATCCTATTGCGCTAAGTGTTGTGTCTACGATCCCCATATGGGGCAATATTTTGTGTGATCCAAACATTGTTCTGAGTTTGGATGTTCTTTGTGCCAGTTTCATGTATAGTCCGCAGCGACCCAGGATATATTCATAGTGCAAGAGATGTCTTTAAAAAAAGAAATAAAATACAACTTAATTAAGCATCTCCTCCTTTGTTGAAAAGGATTTATAACCATTCGAATATAGATGTAATTTTCCAAAAAGATAATGAACAAGTTTTTTTTTTCTACTTTATCATTAATACTTCAGTTTTGTCAAGTTCATTAATTGGCTTTTTTCTGCACAACACAGTCTAAGTATTGTTTTGTGGTTGTCTAATTATTACACATTAATCTTGTCTTATTCAAAAGAAGTGTCCTACCATACTTCCATTTTTAAAGTCGATCAAAAACTATTTAAATTAAGCTACCGTTCGCCTGAGACTTAGCTGCGTTCATCCAGATTTCATGAATTCAGGTTAAAATCTCCTAAAAATATTTATTTTATGTTCCAGGCTGAGCAAGCTCAGGCAGACGCTTGCGCCAAGTTCGAGCAGTTATCAGCGCGCGCTCGGGAAGAGCTGATAGACTTCCGCACCAGGAGAGTTTCTGCCTTCCGGAAGAGGTAATTTTATCTAACTGTAAAAATAATAATAACCTCAAACATATCACACGACCGTCTGGTCCCAAACTTGGCAGAGTCTGTGCTATCGTAACCAGACTGCTGGTTAACATACTTATATATTTCTAAATACATACATATCATATATAAATTACACCCAGACACAGAACAAATGATCCAACCCACGATCTCTGGCTTAAAAGCGGTCAGGGTCCCTAACCTCTTGACCAACAGGCCTGTCAACTATACATATGAAGCAGTGTCGTGATCTATAAAAATATGTGTGTAAGGAAATGTACCGCAGTGGGCGTGGCTTAAAAACTGTACCGCTCAGCGCTTATGAATCGCTTGCCATTTGAGTACCATTTACTAACTGTGCCAATTCAATATTTCTTAATTGTTTTTAGTCTCATCGACCTAGCCGAACTGGAGATCAAACACGCACGCGCTCAACAGGAACTATTTAGAAAGTCGTTACAGGTGCTCAAGGAATGCCAATAGACTGTATGTAATATAATACCTATTAGAATATTCACAAATATTATTTGCACTTGAACGGTTAATGGCGATCTAATTAGATGTGTAAATTGAGACTTACAGTAATAATTATAAGATACAATTTATTTTTTGATGTGCACGACATTTGCTCTGTTTCTTAAAAAGGGGACGGAGTTGTGTAACAGGAAGCTGGGGAACGTTATATGATTTGACCAATGAGCTTGCGACGCTAGAGTTGTCCGTCAGATGGTAGGTGAGATGTCAGTTGTTACACATCATATGGTTAATTAAATCTCGTTTTTTTTTGTCCAGTCACCTGATAGGAAGTGACTACCACCGCCCATAAACACCTCGAACTCAAAGAGTCATGTATTGTTTAAAAGTTTTAGCGTTATACACTTCTTTTGTATATAAACATTAAGTATTCTAAATATGAAACACTTCAGTGCGCCATATTTGCATAAAAAGGGGTACAAAGAATTATATTCACGTATTAAAGTATAGATTTTTGTTTTATTGCTACTCAAAAAAATACAATTTGCGCACTAGGAATACATCCTGTGTCGCGAGTGAAGACTTACAACAACAATTTGTGGATCATACAAAGTGTTGTTGTGATCGCAGTAGGAAGCGGCGAGGTGACCGCTTAAGCCACTACGCCATCCGTGTAGTCTAGATTATCTCGAGTAAGTCCCGATTGACACATCTAATAGACACAATCGAGAAAATTAAAATAAAAAAAAATGTTATTGGTCTTAATAATTGTCAGAGTTGTCGGATTATGTCATTTAATTTGTCAATAGGACTACCAATGTCATATTAAGTCTATAACATTATCCATTATACACCTGAAAGCAATAATCCGGTATGCGGGTCACACAGAGATAACTGAAAATGTTAACTCCAACTAGTAACGCCATCTATAAAATGAATTGTTTTAGATAACTAGTTTGTGTCCCGGATCATTGCTCTTGAGTGTAATTGTCGAGTTAAACTAATTCCGAATATGTTGAATATATATATTTGAATTTTTGTCATAAACTTTGGAAGTCAGGAGCGTTGACTGACTGATCTATAAACATTGTCAGATTTATAGAGTAATAAAAAAAAATGAAACTAAACAATTTTTTTATTATTTCAATGAAAGTTATTATCAATTTAGAAGAAATATGATAAATATACAATAGAATAGAATATGCTTTATTGTACACCAATTACAGTAAGTTGGTTAAATATTACAGACGGATATGTACAATGGGCGGCCTTATTGCTAATAGCTATCTCTTGTACATGTATAAATAATATAAAGTCATATAATAACACAATGTTGTTTTGACCACAACAATATAAACTATACATTTATTTAATATAAAGTTTCGTCATTAGATGATGTTTAATTATATTTATGAATATGTATAAAGTAAAATTATGAACATGTGTAGATTAAAAAAACCCACTTTTCACTTTATTTAGAACAGTTGTAACGGTGTATGTTAATAATTTGGCTTCATGCCTCTCTAATGCACATGTCTTGTCTTGTTTTAAGGGTCTATATTAGGTGCTATTTAATTATGCCAACACCGGTACTATTACCATATGAAAAACTTCGGCAGCAACACACTTGTGAATTTTGAGTTGCAGGTGTCCATAGGCGGCGGTAGTTGCTTACCATCAGGTGACCCGTCTGCTCGTTTGCCCCTTATACCATAAAAAAAACTTGTCTGCTTCAGAACTATTCCCTCTCCTAGTTTTTTTTTATAATCCAGAATTCCATAAACGGAAGTTTAATACGACCGATAAATAAAATTTATTCTAAGTTAACTATTGGTCGACATCAATATAAAAATCTAATCTGATGTCTAAAGCTGATTTTGTTTTGTAAAATTATTGATAACATTTGAAGTATAAACATTACTTGGTAAAATAATTTTATTTTATAAAAGTTTTAAGAAGAAATCACAAGAATATAATTATATTATTGTGATTTCTTTTATTATTTTTCTATTATTATTCGATTGAACTTTTTTTACGTATGGTGCAAATTTGAATTTTTATTATAACTATGTTAAGTAATTTTTTTACGTGCAACGTGGACCAATTTTTTTTAATTATGTTTCTTTTTATGATTACTGAGTGTAGAATAATGAAACATAAATGACGTTTCCTTTTAATTCTACTGGATCTCCTGCTAGTGGGTACATAAAGATGTAGGTTCGTATTAAATATCCTGTGTTCCTTATTTTTGGCCGTCGATTTGGGGTATCTCGAAATGACATGGTCAGGGTACTTCCCAAAGTAGGTAGTCAGAGGCCGGCCGACGTGGTGGTTTTTAGTAAAACACAACATACTCCTTTCAAGATTCAAAAGAACTTTCCGTAGACCAACCGTCCCCCCTCCACCTGAATCTGGGGATTTGACTTTTTGAGTTGCAGGTGTATGTGGGCGGCGGTAGTCACTTACCATCAAGTGACACTTTCGCTCGTTTCGTCCCCCCTATACCATAAAAAATACCTATAGTAATAGGAGAACTCAGTAGGAATATTAAAAAACGTATAAAGTAAATACACGTATCAAATTGTTTCTTGTATATTTAATTCAAAAATGAATTTTATAAAAGTATTATAAGTATACACATTATCTGTAATATACATATATACACCCAAATCCCCGAAGGGGTAGGCAGGAGTATATTAAATGCTCACATTTTGCCAATAATTTGCTCCACTTGACGTGAGAGGGAGGAAGCCTGTTACCGTCATTAAAGCACTTCGAGTAAAGATAGAAAAATTAGATATATTTTGAAAGAAAAAAGTCCGATCCTTCTAACAAATTATTTTAAACTATTTAAAGCTCTAAGTTCGTCTTAAATATGAGTCTGACAAACATGTGTATACTTAAGTTATAAATTTAATTGGATTCGGCTATGCAAGAAGAATTTTTAAAGTGTTCAAATGCAAGATAAGAATATGCAAGATTTAATAAATGTACCCATCAAACGAATTCAATATAGAAAATATGTGTCTTTAGCTTTAAAGAATGCATTTGATTTACTGAAGTAACCTTTGTTGTACGTCTTTTAAAGATATAGAGGGAGATGAAGGCACTTAAAATCTCGCATAAAGATGTTGATAAGGTTAAAAAAACTTGCATGCATCACAACAATTTCTTAAGTAAGGGGAAAGGGCAGGGAAAAAAGGGGATAGCCCTTGAAGTCTTTTAGTAACTAATTAAGATATAAAGATGAAATTTAAACTACATCTTTAAACTGTTATAATTGATGGGGTTGGAAAGCGAAAGCAAATATTTGAGCTGATATTTTCTCATTTTAATAGTTATTAGCTACAAATAAATAATTATATTGTTTCTGTTTTAACTAATGTAGAGTTTGAAAATTGTTAGCTTTTCATCACAATCATCAAAAATCATTTCTTACCTGCATTGACGTGCCCTATAAATGCAAGTGTTTCTTGCATTTATCTTATCTTGCATTCATGTCGCTTACCAAAGTATGTGTACTAACCTACTATAAGGAAAACTTGTTATTTTTAAATGTTTATATTGTAAGAAAAATATAATGATTTATCCCTGTTTTGATTTTTTATTCTCCTCCTAAGTCAGCGCTCTGACGTGATGTGGGCATCAATAGTCACGATATAGCCAATATGAATACCTACTTATCCAAGTAGGTATTAATTAAAGAAATTCATTCTTCTTGGTGGAAGGTATCCTGTTCTGCACCCCTCATATACAAGGATGTGTTAAGAAGTTTTGGTGTGAAACAAGCAGACAAATAGACTTTCCCATTTATAATTACCATTTTTGACTGTCTCGGTGGTGCAGTGGTAGCGTATGCGACTGCTGTGCTGAGGTCTTGGGTTCGATTCCCTGGTCGGTATCCCTGGTCGGGTGTCATCATCATCATCAACAGCCTTTACTAGTCCACTGCTGGACATAGGCCTCTCCTTCGGGTGTATAATCTGCAAATATTTGTGTCGGAGTTTGGGTGTTTTCTATGTATATTATGTATGTATTTACTATATATATGTATATATGTTTTCTATCAGTCAATCTAGCTTTCATAGTAGAAGCTCTGCTTAGTTTGAAACTAGATGGCGTTGTGTGTAAGATCTCCGAAAATATTATTATAATATAAAATATATAGTATATGCCTTGGCTGAGCCTTGCTTGGGCAAGGGTTGGCTCAACCGGAGTGATAACACGGCTTCACAGGAAACAGTTAAGCAATTCTTTTATAGCTTTTCGCGGAGTGAGTGAGGACTTCAAACTTGATATAGTGAGGATCACGTGATGGTAAGGGATTACCGCAATAAATAATTTAGAGCTTATAATTAATTATTTATATTATCTTTCATACGAAATTCTGTATCATCCATATATTTCGATAGCGTAGTCCAGCCGGTAGCTACGTTGACTCTTCATACGCAGCGTGACGTGCTTGAACCCGATACCGCCCTCTGTGATATTGATTGACGCTTCGCTGTTTTGGTGGTCGTAGCAGCTTATAGACTGGAAAAATTGGCATACTTTGAATGTAAATTTAAATCAATAGGTAAATAAAAAAAGGAAAAATTAAAGGAGCACCTAACTAACTATTACACACGGCACACAAAAAACCTGGTTAGTACCAGTACTTGATGTTAATGAACTATCACTAGACCCATTGGAACTAACGACGCGTAATTGTTTTGAAACAAAAATAATTTGCGAATGTAATAGTGAGGAAACGAGTGATTTCACACATTTTAACCTGACCATGTATTTTGTTTGCCGTGTGTACTTACTTAAAAAAGGGGCGCGCTCAGAATTTTCTAACAAAAACAAATCGCCTAAAATAAAATGAAATGTGTCAGTAAGTACCTATGCGCCTACTTACACAATATAAACAACTCATTAATTTTATAGAGATGTTAACATCTAGGATTTATATTATGTAATTGCCACTATACCAACCCGTCTGGCGGTTATAGTAGGCCAAAACCGTTATTGTCACCTTCGCGGTAGGCCTTCGTGACGAGTGGAAGGAAAAACCTGTCCACCTGAGACCACACTTAGGGCGGATTAGGTACACGAGGCGCTGGAAGACTCCGACGATGACTGCAATGAGCGCCCGACGCTACGTTGACCTGTGTGTGCTGAGCCGAGTTCAAACTGCCTTGCAGTGGTGACAGGCACAACTCAATTCACTCCTATAATAGCTATCGACTGCGACTGCTACCAGAAAATACCTGCGTCAGTCATACGTGCTGCCACCAACCATGCTAGACGATGACCGGCTGGAGTTACGGCACGGCGCTAAAGCCAGTAAGTGGGGTCCAGCCGGGACGACCAATGATTCATCGTGGCTCGGCATCCACCTACAAAGACCCGTTATGGAGGATTGGCTCGAGAGGCGTCACGGGACCCTCTCATACCGATTGACGCAGGTGATCACTGGGAAGGGATGTTTCGGAGATCACCTGTGTCTGATCCGCAAGGAGCCAACGCCTGAGTGCCACCACTGCGATGGCCAGACCGTGGACACGGCTCTCCACACGCTGGCAGAGTGCCCGGCGTGGGTTGAGCAGAGGCGAGACCTCGTGACGGCCATCGGAGTGGGAGTTCTCTCGCTCGATAGCCTGATTGCGGCTATCGTGCGGAGCGAGAGTGCGTGGAACTCTGCCGTCTCCTTCTGCGAGCAAGTTATGCTCGCGAAGGAGACGGCGGAGCGGGACCGGGAGAGGTTTAGAACTCTCCCGGCCCGCCAGGCCCGGGAACGGGCCAGGTACCGCAGGCGACTCAGGCGCCGCAGGTCGCAGAACGACCTCCGTCCTCCATAAACGCAGGCCTGGGGGTGACAGGTGAGGCCATCTGTCACCCTAGCAGAAGCAGGCCGGGGTGGCGGCAAGCGCGTTGCGAAGCGCGCTCGCTTCCAGGGAGCACCGGGAACATGGGGTTCCCACACGGGGGGGTCGTCTACTCGTCTGTAGATGACCCGAGGTAAGTCTGGGTACCAGGGACTTCCTTTCTAGGGTATACCTGGTTCCCCGGCTATTAGTACCCGAGACGGCGTGCAGTTTTAGTCGGTTCGAGTCCGACATGCCACCGACAGGTGTTATCCGAGGGGACTTCCGCACGGAAAAAAAAGGCGTTCTAAACTCGCGCTGTCACAACATCAGAAAATATGCTACTGACATGCCAGATTGTCGCCCACTTAAAATGTATTTATTTTAAACATTTAAGAAAATTGACTAGGTTTCAATGGCCGTTGTCACAGCCTCACCACGACCAGTTGTGCAACCTATTCATTGCGTATGAAACAATATTAACATATATTGACAGTCTGCCTGGTACGTGCAACCTGGTCTAAACGTTTGGCAATAATTCAAAAGGATTTTATTCCTGTCAATAACATGGACAAAAGACTGGTAAAGATATCAGATACTATGAATAACCTAGTTTAATGAAATAATGATTTATTATTAGCTGAGATAAGGATCTTATGAATGAGACATGCTGAGTCATGCACACGACCAAAGTGATATTACAGCTTTGCAGAGGGCCTAGTGTGAGCTTAAGATTTCAGTGCGCGCCAATCGCAGCACCAAACGTGGTCACCATGACGATCGAGTAGATGTGTAATAAATTCAGACTAGGCTCTCAGAAAATCGATGTTAAATAATACTTTCGATGCTTTCCATCGAGTGAATTAGTTTACCAGAGAATTATAGTGCAAATAGCACTTGGGTGGCAACGCATTTGTATCTCTTGGGTTGCACGTGTCCATAGGCGGTACCCACTTACTATCAAGTGACCCGTCTGTTGGTTTGCGCCCAATACTATATTGTAGGATTCCGGTAACATCACCCACTCGGTAAAATGAAAAGCAACGAAATACTTGCGTGATACCAGTTTTTGTGAGGCCGTGGTATCACCATTTACGACGAAGCATGACTCTTCCATGAACAAATGTTATTACATACCTTTATAGGGATTGCGCCATTGTAAGTGAACAGTTTCACGCGTTTCAATAATGGGATAGCCTCGTACCTAACGTTGGCGGCGTGTATCAATCTTGAATTATTCGTTTTATCACCAAAGAAGTATGTAGAACACAGCACAGAGGTAAACAGAGTAATTGTTATTGTAACACAGAATAATAACTGTTTAGGTTGCATTTTAATGTTGGTCCGCACTTGTGTTATTATCTAGGATTGTCTTAGTACACTATTGCACTGAAATGTTATATTTTCATCATAGTTTTATACTCATTTGTGCGTCTCTCAATCACAGACGATATTAATATATTTGTTCATTTAATTGTTTACACAGTTACCTACTTAAATCGATTTCTATTTATATAATAAAAGGACGTGTAAATTTTGATACAAAGGTCCTCAATGCGACTTGTGGTAAGATATGGTAAGCATTTGTTAGGTAAACCCTTCCTATACCCTCCGAGAAGCAAAACGAAGCGATGCAAAGGCGAGATTGTATGCCAACCTCCTTGACGGTCCGTTCCGTGTCGGCTTCTCTCCAGAGTTAAGGGTACTAGGCGGTAGGCAACTGAAGAGTGAGGTCGAGTGAGGACTGCAATGACAAGTTGCCACCCACATCTTCAGTTTGTATCACTCGCGCCTCGTATACCTTGACTCCGACTTGACTATTGCAACCACGGCTCATCACGAATCGTGTGAAGCGAACTCGCGAGTGCGTGTAACCGTGAAAAGTTTTATGGGGATCTACTGAAAGCACACTTTTTTATACTTACACATTACACTACATTGGCAATAGAACACCTGGCTGATAACCATATGTATGTGAGCACGTAGCTACGTTAATGATAAGCCGTCACCGGTACCCTGAACATTTGAGCACCCAGTTGTTATTCGTACAAATATAAATCTTGTTTTCAATGGTGTCACTTTTTTAAATAGTGTTCAACACAAAATACCGAAAGAACTAGAAACTATATGATACCGATAGAATAACAGTATTTTTTTCTAAAATTGACTCTTAATAAAATGGGCGAGTTGACAATAGAAAAATATTTTTGAATATGTTGATTTTATTAAGATTCGAGAATCGATCGATCTTATGCCCGATTTGATTAATAGGTACGTTGATTAGTGAAAGTGTACTCAAAATATTGTTAGATTATATTATTTACAAATAGCAGTTAAACATCAAAACTTAACATTTATTTTCTTGTGTTTAAAACTTCGGATAGTAATTAACCAAAGCCGATTACAACACACGCAAACAAAAAGTCGCAATCATTAAATAAAGTCTGTAGGTATCTACTACATAAATCAGTATTACACAATGCTAAATTATATTTCTTCACACAACAACAAGTATGAAACACCTACCTACTAGGCTTTTTATGCCGCTGCACGAACTATATTACGTTCAAAAATCATTTCTAGATGTATGAAAAAAACTGGTTGCTAAGTAACTTGTACCACGGTACAATTATAATACAGTAGTGTAACTCGGCCGCATGATAGAAATAAATGCCTACAGCCGCGCGGTACGTAAACATGCGTTAGGGCTGCCCGTCTCCAGCATTTTAATTATATTTGCCTTCTTTCTGTTTCTATTTAGATTTGTGATTGTAAATATCCTTTTTATATAAATAAATGAAATACTTTGTATATTGAATAGGAAGTGTTCAATAAAAATGCGTGTTGTTTTTTGATTGGTAGATTCAATTAAAAAAACATATTTTTGTTTGAAAAACAAATCGGGCTTATAAATTTGCGACCGAAAAAAATCCTTCTATAAAATAAAATAAATGTGCTTTCTCCTTACGCGTTACAAAACTCCAATCCTTAGAAACTCCAACACCTACCTACTCAACTAGAATGCAAGAAACAGCTGACGAGAAAGTAACTTTTTATCTCAGCTTATTAACGTCTCTATAAATTAGGTACCTACCTACAACTCAAAACAAAAATTCTTTGGTCACCAATTAATTAATTATTAAAAAGCTGAAGAGCTGACTACGAATGTTTTAAAATCACAACCCTCAAACATCTAAATATTATATTTGAGTCTAGCTGTTGTTGTTAATACCGAGAAAATAAAACCAGGTTTTAGTGGTATATGTTGTTATAGTAGCAGCAGAAACACTTTGTGAAAATTTCGAAAACTGTCTAATGACACACAGACGGTGAAAATTTTTTTTTAGTATTATTCATACACACAGATAATAAACAAATATTATTAATAATAAAATACCACGTCTTTACTTTAAATTATGCAAAGTAACAAAACACACATGCACCGAAGTTTTAACACAAGCGTAAGTAGGTAGGTACCTACCGTATCATGATTCATTCAGAACCGCATATAACTCCCTATTTCACTCGTCTCAATAACTTTCCGTTACTCTATTTGCTTTATTTATTCATCCAAACACCTTTTTTTTCGTGAGATAAAAGGAAATACTTATCCATTAAAAAGACACACATTATGTACCTACCTACTAGTAAGTAAAATTATTTTATAGTCTTACCTTTCAGAGTTTCCAGGTAATTTAAAAAAACTTATGTCTGGATGCGTTATTGACGAATTCATACAACCAAAAACAGCACAATATTTCCTACTCGTCATATTAACTGATTTTTAGAGAAAAAATCGCGCGGTTATTGTTAAAAAAACAACACACAGTCCGTTCGACACTGCGGTACAGCCGTGACTGTCTGCGCCCCGAGCGCACCCCGAGATCGAGGTGCGTAGGTATAGCTCGCGTTTCGTCCGTTTGTATGAAGTTGGAGTACTGTATTATAATAGTACCGTGCTTGTACGCACGGCAGACATCACTATATTACTAGCATTTAGATTATGACTTAAGTATGGGTAATAACTGCTTAAAAGTAATAATTGCTTAGTAATGATAGCTCTGGATACTGTAAGTAACTTGTATGGTGTCACACGACGATTTAATTATGACAATTTTTTTGTGTTAGTAAGTGGACTGCGTGTCAAAAGTTTCGATAGCCGGCGGCCTTCAGAGGCGTAAATGACGATTGATAACTATATAACTATATAACATATTATGTAGGTCGTTAATTTGTACGCTACACATGGCAAAAATTGATGATAGCAATATTTGATTATCATATTATTAATTAACGATAGTTTGGTCGTGAGAGAGCCATCTTCAGGCACATATGTATGGGCACAGGTTCGACGGGACTGATACCACAGTCTCACAAAAAACGGTCTCACAGAAAATCAGTGTTAGTTAATTCTTTCGTTACTTTTCACTCAGTGAGTGAAAGTTACCGGAGGATGAAACCCACTCTCCACGTGATTCTTTTTTTTTAAAGACACCCGGCACAGAAGCGTATCTAGGCCAAAGTATCTATAACCAAAGGCCCTGGTGGCAAAAAAAAAGGGGCCCTACTCTCATTTTCTCAATTTTGAATGGATTCCAAACGGTACTTTTTATAAAATAAAATTAAAATCGTGATTTCTCATGCCTAAGCTAATCTTTTTACTGGTTCTCTGTAGTTTTTCAAAAATTTAACAAGATTATCTTATCATTATTTACTAATATTCCAAATTAAAAAAAAAACAACGGTAACTCTCTGACCGGCAGTACCACCTAAAATTCGTGTTAAAACCTATTTTATTTACTTTCCAAAGGTGGGAGAATTTTTAGCTAATTCAATACGAGGTTTGCTGGTCTGGGTTTGAGGCCCCCCTAAGCTTGGGAGCCCCGGTGCACAGCACAGCTTAAACCTACGGTAGCTACGCTACTGCTCCCGCATTAGGAATACATATCCTGTTTCGCGGAGGACTTTTACAAATATACATGAAACAGACACAAAGAACACTTAGACTCAGTACAACGATTTGTGCATCACACAAAGGGTGGTGAAGAACCCACTACACTCAGCGCAGTAAGAAGCGAAGTGGCGACCGCCCAAACCACTACGCAGTCAACATCCCCGTGTTTCTGAGGGCCGAGTCCCCGTGAATCTGACGCTGGGACTCAATAGGCGGCAACGCATTTGGGACACTGCGATGCAGGTGTTTATGGGAGGCGGTGGTCCCTTACCATCAGGTGATCCGTCTACCCGTTAGCACCGCTATACCTTAAAAAAGATAATTAACAAAAAGTTAGATACGATAGGAAAACTTTTTAGTAGGTATTAGAGATTTAACAAAGAATACATTTGTATCCATTCACATCATCACATCATCAGCCTTTAATAGTCCACTGCTAGTCATAGGCCATAGGAAAGGAGGCTTTGACCTTACCATGCCACGCTGGCCAGACGGATTGGCATATTGTTTGTGTCAAGTTTTCCTTCTCTGTGCAGTGCTGTTGTTCTGCGTAGTTTGCTCCCTTAGTCGGCTCTTACGACACCCACGTGATGAATAGGGGTGGTGACACTCTGTATTCTTGATCCGTCACCACACCATTCATAGTTATTGTTGTAGGTATTAAACCACATTAGTTACGCTTGAATTTGTTATTGTTTAAATTATCTTTATGACTTAATAAATGTGGGACAGAAAAAATTGTCTTATCTTAATATTTTGACCTTTTGTGCGTAATTAATACGATATCTAAGTCGGGTTATTTCTTCCTTCTTCATTTGTGTAAAATTTAATAGGAAACCGTAGCTGATATAGTTTTAAAGATTACCATGACTATCGGATATATATCGGATACAAAGATCACCCCGATTCAGAACAACAATTTGTGAATCTCACAGTGTTGTCCCATGTGGGGATCAAACTCACAACACGCGACCGCTTAAACCACTATGTCATCCGTGCAGTCAAAAACCTATAAGTTACCTTTCAAAAGTTTTTATACTACCCGATCTAGTGTTAAAAAGCACCGGTGACCGCTTACATCCAGACCAAAAGTGTTGATTGCCAATTTCATTGTATAAAAAATGTATTTGTGAAGTATCTCTGTATAGCTAAAGTGATGGTACAAACATTGATTTACATGACACAAAGGACCATTTACGGCTCTGGTAAGAAGAGGATTCAACAGTCATCACTTGCACTAGACACTAAAAAAAGATAACATTTAAAACATCTCAATTAGACGAAATTTTAACTTAGAGAATAATATTTAGCGTAAAAACTTTACTTCTAAATAATAATGAGTGCCATATTATTACACGCACGAACTGCGATTTCTTAT